TAGATAGATAGATAGATAGATAGATAGATAGATAGATAGATAGATAGTGGAGTGAGAGAGGGCCAGGTGTGTTACCCCCCCCCACCTCACCCCCTTGTGTGATGACCTTTCCTCAGCGAAGAGCTCAGACTCTTACAACACACACATACGTGGCGAAGATTCATTATAGATTCATAAGTAGCAACATGCCCCCAACCCCTCCTCACCAAGACATCATAAAGGTCAAGTTCATCTTCGTCAGTATTCTCTCTTTGTCTCCCTCCCTCTCCCCTCATTGTCTCTGGGGGCCGTGCAACGGCGGCAACAACACCAGCCTGTTGCCACAGGAAGCTGCGAATGTATGCAGGTGCTCTGAGTGTGTGTGTGTGGGTGTGTGTGTGTGTGTGTGTACAAGTGATTATGAGTCTGTGTCGAACACTGGGAATATTGTCCAAAGTAATGTGAATACATTTCCATAATGAAGTGTGTTGGTCTCTGTTTTAAAAGTCTGCCAGTCAGGCGTGTCGTCATTTTCTGCACAACCTGCTGGCCGTCTTCAGTCCTGCGCTCTGAAAGCCTCCAAAGCCATGATCTCAGACTGAAAAATTTCACACCGATTATTTGCTCAAAGGCACTTAAAAACTGTAAGTTTTAAGCGCAAATTCAGCTCAAGGTGAAAGTCTTGTAGACCACAACGTTTTTTACCAGGAGTCATGGTGAGAAACGATTGTACCTAGGCAAAAGGTGTAAAAAATATATATTGAAGCATTGATAATGCGTGATGTGGCTTGATAAATTGTGAGATAAAAACGTACAGCCGGAACCTACAACCGCGTTATTTTCAACTGAGAGCCACCAAAATCATCTAAAATGGTTAGTTGATTACTTTACAGGTTCACAAAAACTGTGTCTTATATGTTAAATTTTTCATTTTAAGCATTTGTCATGCAAATTTGTTCCCTCAGAATTAGGGTGAAAATTCTAAAATATTTTTCTATGTACAATAATCTACAAAAATACATGAGCAAAGCAGAATTGTCAGTTATACTAGTTCACATTTATATTTCTAGCTCTGCTGGATTAAAATTGAGCAGTTACCTTTTACTTTCCTTTTGCCATGGTGACTGACGTATTTGAGATCCATTGATTTATTTTTTCACTGCCCACGCATGTACTTACCTCAGACTGGACACACACAGAGCACATTTAAGTAACACTTGAGTCCATCAAGTCAGAGTTCAGTTATACTCATCTGAACGGAGTCACACATTGGCAGGCGGGAAGCCATTGTTGATGACCTTAAACTAATATCACCAACTTTCTCTTGGTTACTGAACCCAGAACTTCTCTGGCCCAATTAATCTCCAAATCAAAAAGTTTCCATTTTTCCGCTGAATAACTGAGCCAATAATTAGACATCATGGTGTCATTCATTTCTGATCTGAAAATAAACTTGATTTACATATCAGAGGGACTTACTTTTGTCCAATTCTGGTTCCACCTCCATGTCCCAAGCTTGTCCATATATGGTCACTTCTCCCTCCAAATGCTTAACTTCAGTATTTAAAATATCGGTTTAACTTTTATTAACTGTGATTTCACAGTGGATTAGAGAAATTTATTTGAATTTCTCACCTTTGCTTGCACTGTTGGTAAGCCAAGTCGGCCATCTTGCTCCCAAAAAGTTCTGCTTTAAGAGTGCAACTTGTCTAAAAAATACAACAGTTAACATTTAGATTACACTTTCTCTTTGTCATTGATGCCATTGAGGGCATCACAGCTTGTCTTTTGTTCTCAGTTCTGTTTTATTTGTTTTATCTGTGTCTTTGTATAGAATTTTAAATCCCGAACCTGGGATTCGGGAGGTTAGCACATTGATGAATCTGTGTGTTTTTGGATGGAGCCAAAGACCCAAAATCAATTCCATTGCACAGTCAGTTCCCTTACATGTCCTGTTATTGTTATTTACCACCATTATGCTCCAGCCTCAGGTTGTCATGGAGAACAGGTCCATCAAGGGTTGGACAGAGATGAGGACAAGTGCCTGGACCTCACCTGAGCCACCGGATCCTGATCTCTTGCCAGTGGGACAACCAGCCTGACAAGAGCCATGGTGAGCCTCTGAAAACGATGTGTTTGGGGGGGAAAGATTACATTTGGAAACTTTTTCCAAATACGAATACGTCGCCTTTAATAATTTTTATTTCGAATGTGATGATAATTGCAACTGTCATTGGTGTCGTTGTCAATTTTTTAAAATGTTAATGTGCCCACCTGGATTTTTATTACTTGGAGTTTTCCCTTAGTTCCTGATTACACTCAGATCAAAAACCACCTGCATGTCCTATTTAGTCACTAATTAACTTTCCCAGTACAAACTCCATGCTTCAGGTGTTAAAGCTGGGCAGGTGAGGCGTACTACTGTACTGTACCGCAATAGATCTGGGTGAGTGTGGTCTGTATCTGTACGTGATTGTTGTCAGGGAATCAGTACTGTCTTATCTTTGTTTCTGCTTTTTTTTTTCTTAAAGATTCATTTCACTCAAGTGGGGGTCATGAGCTTCTTTTGATTTGGCAAAAGAGCTCCACGAGAGACATGTTAATAACATGTTAAGCTAAGTCACATGACAAAAAACACCTACTGGCAAATTTCTCATGTTTAATACATTTTTTAGAAACGTGCTTGTGTTGAGCAAATCAGTAGAGAAAGCTCCATTTAGGGACTATTAGGGATGTGCATGCTCTAACATAGAAAAAAGAACTCCACTCACTCCCCATGCTCGTTAATGTCAGATTACCTTTCTCTTTCTTTCTCCCCCTCCCTCCAATCTGCGGGCAGCTCGGTGCCTGTGAATGACTGACAGTCCGGTGGAGGAGAGTGACAGGGAGGATGCTCAGGTGGCGGCAGCGGCGTGCTCTGTCTCCTCTGTAAGTCCGAGAAGATACAGGCTGCTGGACCTGGGGACCCGTTCAAAGCCTGAGAGGTGAGCCACCGTCTTAACCTTTTGGTTGCTTTTTTATTTCTCCATCGCTCATAAAGGTTGAAGGAGCAAAGGGATCTTGACCCGGTGCATGTTGCCTGATGCACCAGTTCTGCTCCTGCCTTCATCTTGCTCGTTTGAGATCGTGCGAATGATTTATCTCCGTTTATTTTTTATGGCAGCGTGTTTGTCCGATCGAGTTATTGCAGATGCAAGAGAGAAGTTCTGATGAAAGTCTTTTGAAAGACTCCGTTTACGTTGCGATTGTCATGTCGTGCAATGACCGGTCCCTGTCGCAGAGGGCGCTGTTGAGCCAATTTTTCGCCACTTTGACATAGAACTGTGGAAAACAGAACCGATATGACAGCTAAACTCTGCTTGTAATCTTAATGACAGCTGGAGAGGACATTTTTGTAAAAACAAAAACAAAAAACAGCAACAAAAAGCCAACAAATATAAAGATATTTGTATATTTTACTTATATGTACAAATTGATATATTGATACTTTATACTTCAGCATCTATATCAATAAGAAACTGAAGGATAGTTGTTTTAATGTTATACAAACACACAACCGCCACTCAAATAATTTAATATAATTCCACTGAATTATTGCAATGTGCAACTAATATGGATCAATCTTCTTGTTTTTTCAATCCATTAACTGATAAAACGTGTGTGCGTTTGAAAATCCTGTAACCTAGAATTACAAGGTGTTGGCATAAGCCTGCCATGTAAAGGATTTCAAAGCCTTTCAGAGCTGTGGCTCATACATGAGCGTAAGTGCATATTAGTAGGACTACTTGGCCAGAGGATGTGAGTTTGGAAAAAAAATCACCAGTCACAGCCTGCTGATAAAGCTTAAGATAACCTGGTCAGCGGTGTAATTCATAGTCGACATTGCACCATACTCCTTATGCAACTCCTCCCTCATTTAAAGCACTTTGTACCATATAAATTCTGAGAAAATGTGAGAATATTTGCAACCGCCATATGTTTATGACCAAAGGCAATACGATTTACAGGGGAAATGAATCATTAAAAATGCAGAATCATGCAGAAAATGGAACAACTCATTTATACAATTCCAAATAGCTTCTCTTAAATGAAACTTAACTTCAAAAATGCCTCTTAAATATCAGCACCTTAGTGAAAAATAACTAAATATGTTAGATATTGGTAGTTACTCTATGCTGTTTGCTCATGCACTGCAGTGGTGTTTGGACGAATAGTGACAGGTTGCACATAATGACGATAACCTGATATTGCTGCATAGCCAGTTCAGATTACATTGAAAAATAATTGATACAATTGAGAATACTTCCTTAATGAATGTCACCTATTAAATTCTGAAAACTTCCCCATTTATATAAAAACTACCTGTTAAAAAAGAATTCATTTTTCAAGAAACCTCTTTTTTAATGATTAATTGATGTTGATCATTTCCATATACTGAGGCAGAAACTGAAATGCTAAAAGTTTGAATTAGTACTCCTCTCATGTTTTGTATTAATTTTCTTTATCATGACTTTTTTTTTTTACATGTAGCAGAATCTATAACTTTAAAGAACATATTGTAAAATGTACATACCACTCTTTTAGTGTCCTTTTATGTATATATATATATGCTTATATTATGAAATATTTTCTATTGACATTTCTATTTCTATTTTTGTTCGTAGTGTGATATTTCTATAACCATAAGGTATACATTTAAGACTTTTTAAAAAAAATGCCTATCATCTTAATTATATTATAAATAATTACCGTGTAATATGAAGTTATTAAGTTCATAGTTACATTTTCAGACCCACGTCTGATTGCCACTTTTTCTTTGAGAAAACTTCGAAGGAATGTCTCTCCGGGCTGAGCTCCTCCTGCCACTTGATGCTCAGAGTCGTGTCTATCCCCCTCAGATCTGCGAACGTACTTCATTCCGCATGCAGTCGCCGTGCACGCACGTAGCCTCTCGCTCTGTATTATTGCTCTCAAACTAACCACCATGGGGAGTTGAGGGCAAGGCGACGGGGCTATTTTTCATGACCGTTTAGTGACTCCTCGCCATCCCTATGCCGCGTTCGGGAGCACGTTGTTCGCGCCAGCATCCCCAATGCAGCGGAATACGGGGGACGGGCTTTCAGAGACGGTAGGACTACACTTTTTGGAGGAAAAAACACCCATAGCTAAGCTAGCCAGCTAGTAAGCTAGCTAACTAACTAGCCCAGCCGCCAGAGCTAGCTGGCGCTGCAGCCACCGGAGTGGAAAACGTGTCCTCGCTTTTTTCTTGTTTCGTTTGATCTCACACCAGGGGGGGGGGGGGTTCGTTTGAGTTAACCGCTCAGAAAGTTGGCCTTGTTTCGGTCTGAGTTGGCCCGGCAGGGGTAAAGTAGCACTCCACGGTTATGTTGAAGTGTTCTTGCTCGCAGGCCCGTCTTATGTGGCTACAGAGTTTGTTGCTGTACCCATCCCCCACCTCCTTTGCAGGCCAAGATGAATGAGATTCTCACTTCAAAGCGCTGGCATTGCTGGTGGCATTGCTACGAGGCTAGCTAGCTGTCTTAGCTTGTTCACACCAGTTGATTGTGTGTAGGGTGAGATTTGGCTTGACGAAGTGAAAGTTTTTGGAGTGTTAGCACGAGTGAGGTCGCTGGTTGATCAACGGACGAGCCAAACTTTATGATGAACTTGAGTTTGCATTAGCTTAGGTAGTGTTCAGTTGTTTTCGAGTCAGTCTGAAGACTCGGTTTCAGTGTCGATGACGGTATGTGAGAGCCTCTTAAATGTTTTTGAAGGCGAGATCATGCATCATGTTAGCATCCGATCAATTTCCGTTGGGTTTGACCAACACATGCCGGTTTCTTTGCATCTGCGTTTGTCCTCTGATTTAGTTCTGTGTTTTTTTCCGACTGTTATAGAGCGGATGTCCGTGTGAGTTTGTGTTTACTTTGGTGGTCTGACTCTGCATAGGGGGTGAAAGAAGAGTTGGTCATTCTGATTTTTACAATGGCTGTTTATTTCTGTTGTGCGGACTGGCATTGCTGCGGCTAACTGTTGTTCCTGTTTCCATTCCAGGGGGAATTGTTCGCCAGCAAAATCATCGCCAGAGGGGAACGTCTGACCTCTGCCTTGTGCAATCAGAGACATGAGTGTTGTCAGAGAATTACTTGGGATTGGATACAGGGGCGGTGGAGGGGTTGTGGCCTCTATGAGCGGCCCTACCCACTTTACCGAAGATGCCCCGCGACCTCCGGTCCCCGGTGAGGAGGGAACTGATCTGGATCCCCCAGTCCAGTCAGTCAACGCCCGTCCAAACACCCTTTCGCAAAGCCTAGGCTATCCTCCATCTTCTAAAATGGGGGATTTATCAAGTTACACGCCGTCGTCGTCGTCTGCGACCCCGCGTCGCCCCGATCTGGACTTGGGATATGAACCTGAGGGCTCGGCGTCGCCAACTCCACCGTATCTGAAGTGGGCCGAGTCCCTGCACTCTCTCCTAGATGACCAGGAAGGCATCCAGCTGTTCCGAAACTTCCTGAGGCAGGAAGGGTGTGCGGACCTTCTAGACTTTTGGTTCGCCTGCTCGGGGTTCAGGAAGACGAGCCAGGAGAAGAGAGCCAAGCTGGCCAAGGCCATCTACAGGAAGTACATAGTGGATGGGAGCGGGATTGTCTCCAGGCAGATCAAAGCAGCCACCAAGAGCTTCATCCGAGACTGCGTGGGAAAGCCTCATACAGACCCCGCCATGTTCGAACAGGTGATTATTGCCAACAGTATGTCAAAAGTCACGAATGTTGCATTACGTTAGGCCAGCGGAGGATGCAGGCCGTGCTTCAAACACTGACATGGTTTGGTTGAGCTGTGCTGAATGAGTGGAATCTGATAAGGTGTAGATTTTCATGTAGACATGGGACACAACTGAAAATCAGTTGTGTCTGCATCTGTTTGCAAGATGATACACGACACCCAAAAAATTAGACAGTGGGCTTTGGCAGCCCTGTACACATTCCCCCCCACCCCACTTCACCTCACATCTTGCTTGCACATGAGCATTATAAGCCTCTCAGGGTTTATGCGTAGAACTGAGGGAATTAAAGCTTACTTCTGGTTCGACAATCTAAAAGTCAACATAGATCAGGCAAGGATGTTTCTGCAGGTGACAGAGAGGCTTTGAAAACAGGCCAGGTATTTTGTGAGTTTGTAAAATAAGGTGCATGTTTGTGTTGATGTATGATTCTTGCATTAGAATTGATCATGATAGGCCCATGCGGAGTAGGACAGAGATAGGCGTTGAGGTTTGAGGAATCTTCCCGGAGCAGGAAACATGATTGGTCGACTGCTCGTGCTGCAGAAAAAACTGAGATGGCCCAGATTGTGTATCGGAACAATGGAATGTTATTTCCCAGGGAGTTGCATTTTAGGGCAGGGGTAAAAAGTTGCTGGAAATGTCTGAAATGAGAGGAATTCTGCAGTTCTGGGTGTATCAGCTGGGTTTTAACGAGGTGCCGACCCGCCTGGCGCCCCCCTTTAACAGTCAGCCGACCAGGTGGGACGAGCTAATGTTTACGTGTAGTTTTCCAGACAGCACACGACTGAACATTTGAGATCACCCAAATTGATAGACGCACGCATCAGTGGAAGATGACAGTCACTGTTCTTTTAGGGTTGAAAAGTTCCATTCATCAGCGGTAAATTGCACACAAACGCAAGCCACTGTGGAGGGTGTTCCTGATTGAAGACATTAGGAACATTGAATCAAAAAAGACAAATCAGAACCCTCTGTAAACATATGGATTCTGTACTCACTGGACAGGTGGCTGCGGAAATTCAGGCTATGTTTGTAATTGGTTGTACTTGATCTGTATGAGCAGCAGTAACAATGTATACTCGACATTTGAATGTTTTTAAAAAAGCTGAAGACGGTCATTTTTGACCGAACAAAAATGAAAACACCACTATTTAATGCAATTTATTTCAGTAACATCACTCTTTTTTTCTTCCATTGTCTCCTTTTCCTTCTTCTTCAAAGCTGCCATTTTAGCCGCACTGTAATATGAACCACACATCCTACATAGACAACATACACGCTCAGCTCTGTGTGAGCTAAACTGTTGTGCTTGTTGTTGTTTTTTTCTTTTCTTTTCATTTGTAAAATGACTGAACATACCAGAGCGACGTAGTCTTTGTGTCAGCTCATGGTTGCCCAGAGCATCTCCAGACTGTTGCCCTGCTCTGATTAGATCCTGATATCATAACTGCGACGTCATGAGCTGAAATTATTCAGTTAACCGCATGTGCGGAGAATTCAGCCGCAGCTGAACGTATAGTGGGCTCCCACAGAGAAAGGCAGACCCCTTGTTGAACGTTTTCTTAAAGCGTTTCTACGTTTCTACGTTTCTAACTGTAGCTCAACTCGCGCTTGTCTGTAAGAGTATTAGTTGAGAACCGTTGCGAGGTAAGAGTCATGTCAACAGCTCTGAATCCACTCATCTCGGCATTTACGAGTGAGCTGAGTCAAGTGAGAAAATGGGATCAGCCTCTGACTCGCGGGCCCACGTGTGTGACCACTGTGTGTATCCCAGGCTCAGACAGAGATCCAGTCCATGATGGAGGAGAACACCTACCCTTTGTTCCTCAAGTCGGATCTGTATTTGGAGTACACGCGGACAGGAGGAGAGAGCCCCAAGCCTAATCCCAGTGATCTGAGCCCTTCATCAGGGCCAGCCAAACCTGTGCCGGGGTACTTGCCTACACTTGCTGAGGATGAGGAGTGGAGGTGAGATGAGCCCGACTCTATATTCTTATGTCTTTCACAAGGCCTCCGTTTGATGTCTGGAACAATTAAACCGTAAATCTGCCGAATTATTGTCAACCGCTCAGCTTTCTACATGAATTCCATCCCCATAGGGATTATTTGTGAAACGTTCTCACAATCCGTCGTGAGAATCTGCCCGTTAAATTCTGTGCTTTTTGTGCGCGCTGGAATGTGTCTGATTGAATATCGAATGTTAATGTGATCGTAGGTGTGGAGGGGGAGGAGGGGTGAGGGAGACGGAGGACGAGAAAGACGAGGAGTGCGGAGACACACCAGCTGGGCGGCTGACTCACAGCCTGCTGATGCAGACGGCGCCCCAGAGGGCCACCACCAACAGGAGGAGGCCGGACAGCAGGGAGTACAGGTGAGTGCCGCCCAGCCTGTGGAGCAGAGCGCGCTGGCCTCGGGTTCGGCGCGTTATTATCACACTAACGCTGGCAGCGAAGGCTCACGGAGTCTCCGTCCTTCCTCAGGCCGTGGAGGGAGCCGGTAAACCCATACTACGCAAACATGGGCTACGCTCGTGCCCCGGCAACCAGTGCCAATGACAGCGAGCAGCAGAGCATGTCGAGTGACGCAGACACACTGTCACTGACCGACAGCAGCGTGTAAGTACACACCGCACACATACACACACACACACACACCTTGGTTAAGGCAGCCACTGAACACGAACATGCCCAGTAACAGCGTGACACCTCTGAATGGTTAAGAACTGTGCTGACTCGTCCTTTTGTGTTCCCGCAGAGATGGTATTCCTCCATACAAATATCGGAACCGGCATCGCAAAGAGATGCATGAAAGTGCCAAAGCCAACGGCCGTGTGCCCCTACCTCATATACCTGTGAGTACAGAGCCCGCAATTGCAACGAAAATGAAACACAATCAAGCCTGCGTTCAATCGAGACGCCGTGATGGCGTTTACGAGTCTGTTTTTGTTGTAAATGTCCACCTTTCTATGGTGTCGTTGCAGACACAATGCAGTTTGATAACACAACAACTAGAGCTGTATCTGAAAACAGATTTTATCTCTTTCTGGCTTTATAACTATGAACAGGGGTTTCCCTCACAGTTGGAAAGTCGGTGTGTCCTCTGATCAAAGTCCAGTGAGAAGATTTAACCGAGAGCGGTTTCTCTTTCAGAATAAGCCAACAGTTGTTTAATCATCCTGTATAGAAGTCGGGACACAATGCTGGTCTTACCAGACTTCTTTTTATTTGTATCCAGAAAACTGCCCTTTCTCCTCAGTCCTCCGATTTGGTCATTTTTTACTTTTTGAGCATCTGAAATGGAAACCTCGGAGGCAGATGTAGGAACCATTGCAATCAGTGACGAAATCTTTGTGTCTATCGTTAAGCGCACACATCGAATGCCAAAGGACATCCACGTAGAGCCGGAGAGGTTCGCAGCGGAGCTCATCAGCAGGCTGGAGACCGTGCTCAGAGAGAGAGAGGCTGAGGAACGGCTGGAGGAGAGGTTGAAGAGGGTGCGACTGGTGAGTGTACGCTGACGACACTAATTGGTGGAACGACCTACCAAGCTCCACAAGAACAGCAGAGTCCCTGTCTGTTTTCAAGAAACTCTTGAAGACCCACCTCTTCAAAGAGCATCTCCTATCCTAACCCTAACCCGTACCTCTACCCCCCCCACAGCTCCTTTTGTAGCCCCTCTACCTCTATCTCTATCTCACCACTGACTCTGATCAGTGTTTCTGTTCTATAAAGTTTATTGTCATTGTGATGAGAAATGTATTATTGTGTCTACTCTGTAAGTCGCTTTGGATAAAAGCGTCTGCCAAATGCATAAACATAAACATAATTGTTTGAGGCCTGAGTCTGATGCATGTTTCCATTAACGAAAGAAAAAAAGCTCTCCTGTGTGAAAGGTATAGCTTCTGCTCTCCAGTGGCATACATTATGCCTTTATGGTAGTTTACAGTATTGTTTACGTCTTTGTTTTCAACAGGAAGAAGAAGGGGAAGATGCTGACATCTCCATGACAACCTCCCTCTCCTCTCACACCATACCACTCCCCCTCCCCACGTCATTTCCACCTCTATACGGCGCCCGTTATTCAGAGACCACTGCTAGCACAGGGGCAGCTGTGACCTACGGCGGCCTGGTTGCCATGGAGGACTCCCACGACGACGACCCCGAATCCATTTTGGACGAGCACGTACAGCGGGTGATGAAGACGCCGGGCTGCCAGTCGCCGGGAGCAGCCAACAGCACCTTAGGAGGAGCGGGCCGGCACACTCCTCCCAAGTCATCCCGCTCACCCGATGGAGGAATTGGACCACCTCACTACCCCCCACACAGAGGGGGAGGCCACAGCCTGCCCGCAGCGGGGGTCAAAGGTAAGAGCTGATTTAAAAAAATAATAATAATATTTTGTTGGATTGCGTTCCTTATGAAGCTGAAACCTTGAAGAAAGATTTCATCAAAGCGTGTCTTGTTGATTAGTGGCTGTATCGTCAATGGTCCGTGTTTTTTGGTGCCTTTAAGGAGAGCTGTCATCAATTCCCACCTCCTCGTTTGTCCCAGGTATACATCACCATAAGCAGTTGTACCACCACCGAGGAAGAGAAGGGCCGGAGGAGACGGGCTCTCGGTCCCAGGCCAACTTCCTGTGGAACGGAGACCCAGCCAATCAGTACACAGGCAGAAGAAACTACGCTGATGGAGCCGGAGCCAGCACACTTGAGGGGATGGGTTACAGGTAGGCCCTCATGTCCAACCTGCAGCAAAACGTAAGCAGCCATATACTCCGATCAATCGGTTTACGTCTTATGTTTCGTTGATCCTGCAGTAGTAAAGGCAGCACACTATCACGGAGAGGTTGCAAAAAGACGTCGGAGACTTCAGGAAAAGGTGACGAAAGCGGGCGCGGCGTGGAAACACAAGTACCAATGGAGGATTTGGAGAGGAACCAGAAGATTCTTCAGTGGATGATGGAGGGAGATCGACAGAGGAAGAGCTCTCACGGGTCAGTAAAAGCATGGCTGCTGGTCATGGTCACAGAGAACAAGTGGGATCGAGAAAGATGTTGGACAGAGAGGTTCCAAGTGATTTCTTTTTTTCCTTTTCCTTTTTAAAGATACTAAATACAGAAAGATGCAGAGTAGATGTCTTACTCCTTACAACTTATCCTCTGTGCCATGCTGTCAGACAGTGTACTGGAGTCTGAACCTTCTGCTCAGACCCGGGTGCTATGAGCTCCTACAGATGCATACTGTCCTCGTATCAACACACACACAAAAAAAAGGCTGTAAAGGAAACAGCCATGTCAGAGTTTGATCTCAGTGTTAACGTGTGAAAACAACTTCGAATTGGCCTCCATATCTTATTGTTCCAGGCACTTCCACTTCACTCCCCGTGTCTTTTTCATTTAAAGCCTTTTGCTCACTCATTTATTCCGAAATTCTGTTCTCGGCGCCTTCCTCATTGTCTCCTCTGCTCCTCAGTGGCAGCACCAGCAGCTCCAGGAGGACGGGGGCCAGCAGCGAGTCCCCGCGTCCCACCTCGGTGGAGCGGCCGGGGGCGGTGCACCCGTGGGTCTCGGCCCAGCTGCGGAACAACCCCTCCACGGTCCCCTCCGCTCTCCCCGGCTCCTCGTCCACCCAGGTCCAGCCCTCGCACCCTTTCATCCAGGACCCAGCTATGCCTCCCAACCCAGCCCCCAACCCCCTCACCCAGCTGGAGGAGGCTAGAAGGAGGCTGGAGGAGGAGAGGAGGCGAGCGGCGCTCCTGCAGGCGAAGCCCAGGTTAGTTCACATCAATCAATCCAGCACGTCTGTCCCAGTTGTTTTGTGTGCACGTGTTCGGTTTTTTGAGACATGCTTTCCACCTTCTTTTCCAGGCATAAGTCTGGGAAGCGGCAGGTGTGCGAGAACATGACGGTTGCGTACTACTTTTGTGGAGAGCCGATCCCGTACCGCACATCAGTCAAAGGTCGCGTTGTGACTTTGGGCCAGTTTAAGGAGCTGCTTACCAAAAAGGGCCACTACAGGTTAGAGCACGCCGCACATTCAAAGAGACGAGCACTGCGTGGTCGTGGGGGAGAATCCGGGGCTATTCACGAGTCTCCCCTCTCTGCATGCAGGTTTTACTTCAAGAAAGTGAGCGACGAGTTCGACTGTGGTGTGGTGTTCGAGGAGGTGCGGGACGACGACGCCATCTTGCCTATCTTCGAGGAGAAGATTGTAGGGAAAGTCGAGAAGGTCGACTGAGACTTGTGAATAGAAGGGGGGGGAAAACAAAACGGAACTTGACGAGAGGCGATGACGAGGAACGGTGCCGGGCGGGTTAAAAACCCGCCGGTGACAAACGAATCGTCGGGAAGTAGAAAGATGGACTCGGCAAGGTATGAGAAGGCGCTGCATAGTATTAAGGAGGCGGAAGTGTGTTTTTTCCCAACGGATAAACGGATATTGGCGTTGCGGCCTGGATCAAAGCCTCACAACGTACAGGGGCTCGGCCATGTGACGCAGATGTGGAGCAAGAGAACAAAACATTTCACCGGTCCCGTCTCTCCGGCGGGGCTTCATAAGGGGCTGTAAAAACGATGTCTGACCAGTCTTCCACTTCCGCTGCGATGGATGGCAAAAAGGGTGAGGGGACCTCTGGAAGGAAAGAGGATAACGTAGTCTTCCACTTCTGCCCTGGGGGAGCCCGTCCTCCGCAGAACCATAACAATGCTGCTACATTACCACGGAAACTCTTCAACCGGTGCTCGGGACAGTCGAGGAGAGCGGTTTCGTTCCTGTCTGGAGCCCAGCTGCCTTTTAGCTGTTTCTGTTCCTCATCAGCTGATGACGGGGGGGGGTTAGAGAGGACGGAAGAAATGAGGCAGCGGAGCGTCATCCCGCTCCTCCCCCCCGTTGACTTCATGGCCTCAAAACAGAGAAACTCGCCCACCCTCGATTTGCAGACGTCACACAGTGATTTCTCGCGTCAACATATCCTAACAAACAGTTCTCTGCATTAATTGTTTACCAAAGCTACATATTTTTGATAAGACAAGTATCCTCGCTACTTGTTTTCATTTTATTTGAATTGTATATGTACAAGGCAGGTACTATTATTACAGCAGCTTAATTTTGTCATATCTCAATATTGTATTATTGTGTTATGTTTTGAAGGTAGCCGATTCGTCATGTCAGGGCAGCCAGTTTGTCTCTCCTCATTAGATCACAACGCAGAACGCCACTTCTGACCTTCAACTGTGGAGTTTTGTTTTAGCAGCTAACTTTTTTGTTTTGTTTTGTTTCTTCTTCTCCACAAACAGAACTCTACATCTCTTGTTATGTTTAGTTTTCGAACACAGGTGTGTCTTGTCCTCTCTCGTATTTTTTCTGCTTTGTCCGAAGCCCGCGTGTCGAACGCCCGGCCAGTGCCATCCCTCTAGAGGCCTGTTAAGCGTGTCCCTGAGTGTGAAAGCGCGCGTCCCTCTCGTATGCCTGAACTCAGCCAAAGAGCGTCATATGTGGGTACTACATGCCTTCACCGGTTTACGCAGAGCCCACCAGTATGAGATGTTTCGTCATCACCAGTCCCCCCAAATTCAAACACATCCAGCTCTCTCATCTAAGAAGTTTATATGAAGCCAAAGCCAGCAGCTCTCAGTTTATAGGAAAGAAATGAAACAAGGAAATTGATATTTTTTACCATCCAAATAAACTTGGTTAAGGCTGTTCGGATGTATTTATAGCGGGGTATTTTTGTTTTGTTTTGCTTTTTGTTAGCGTTATTATATATTAATTGTTTTTAACAAGTGAGTCTGTATGGCGTTCCGCCAGTTTTCACTCACCTCTGTTGTGTAAAACCAGCTTTTGTCTGACCAACTATTGAAAGGTTATCTTTACAGTAACTGTAGACGCATAGCCTCGAACAGAGAGCGTGATCAGTTTTCCCGTCGGAGCGTATACTGTAAAGCACTAAGCCCAGCTCCACAGACGTGTTAAGAAGAAGATGAAATGTGCCGTCAGGCTGCTGATTTTATTGAGTTTGGTCGGCACCAGACGGCATTTTGGCTGTCGCTAACACTGCAGGTTGAGGCTTCATATTTATTGTGGAGACACGAGAGTTTTAGGTAATTTAATCTAACTATTGTCAGTATCAAGGAAAGAAACAAACAAAAAAAAAAGCACATTTTTAAAAAATGTATCACTTGTTAAACTGCTCGTATCTGTGTTATACTGCAGTAAAAAGCCTCGGTGCCAGAAAATCATTAAGCACAGTGCCAGCAGCGCACTGACACACCAGCTATGTAAGCTGAATGTCTTTTTTTATTTTTTTCCACTTTGCCCACGTCCTTAAAAGGAATTTGTTAATTGGGTAAGAGGCATCTCGTCTTCGGTATTGATCTCGAGCCGTCGGCCTGATTGTTGCCTGTTCTCTATCCGGTTAATTGAATGTGCTCGTCAAACAAAGAAGTCTTGCAGGAATGTCGAAAACAGTTTGTCCTGGGTTTGGCCCAGCAAGGGAAGAGAAGCATCAGAAAACATGTTTGTCCTTCCAAACCATCAATGCCTTCAATATGGAAATATAAAATTTAGATATGTATTTGTTTATTAAAAGAAATCATTTTAGTAATCATCGAGCATGTTCTTTATAAGGAATGTTTTCTAGATGAGTTGAATTATCTATTTTGTTTGTTTTAATGTTTCTGTTTATGGGTTCTCTGATTATCCCGTCTATTTTGTTAAGAAACCTATTGACATTTGAATGGTAACACTTCTCAAAAGTTTCCTGACGTGATGAACGGAACGACTTCATCTGCTGCCCGGTTTTTATTTTTATTTTTTTGCTTTTTGTGTTTTTGTTTTTTTTTTGCGTGAAACACAGTGCCTTTTATTATGTTATCTTTCAAATGATTTTTATCTGAGCAGCCTTTGCTTTTGTTGTAACTTGTTTTCTGTCGGTCCACGTGTGTTTAGCGGCAGTCATGCCTTTTTCTCAGCTCTGTTTGGATCAACCCTGTGGTGTAAATATGTACATTATCATTTCATACGCGTCTTTGGATCTGCTCCACATGTTCATGGTGTTTCTGTTTTTCAGTGCCAGATGTCACCGTGCTGGTTCCACTTGTACATTTCTTTTAAAAAGGTACTTCATAATAAAGATGTTGAATAAACCTTTCTTATGTTTTTTTTTTAATTCAAATACTTAAATGCGCACACATTTGTTAAAGCCCCTCTTTTGCCAAACATATTGTAAAGATGATTCGACTTTGACAGTGTCACTGATAACAACAGTGATGAGTCCGTATTCGAACAGACGGTGAGCCAGCATTTGTTTGAATGTGTGTGTTCACGCCTGCTCATCATATTTAGGTTTAACTTAAAGAATCAGTTGTACTAATTTAATATTTTCAATTGAATTTTAAGCTTTTTTAAAAACGTATCCATTATTGTAGATTAATATTTCACAACTTAATAAAAAACCCATTTGTGTTGAATATACTGTAAAAAAGTCTAAAAAATCATGTTGAATTTTGTTATTGGAATGGTGTTCTGCGCTCTCAAAGAACATATGACCCCTTCAACACAACATATTTGGGCTTCAGATTAGATTAATTTGACCTTTTTTTTACCTTGATATGAATTTTAATGGAATGTATTCCAACTGATTTTAATGCCAAAATGCTCTGTATGTACAGATCAATGTAAACAAGTAAGAATTTCAACCATTTTTATTCTGCGTCATAATCTTATTGCACTTTTGAATATAATCTGATTAATTCATTTTAAATGCAGTTGATTCAGGGAAAAATAATGCTAATATTACAATGGCCTTTTAAGCTGAAGCTGAATAATTTTGAATGTTAAATATCATTAAATGTATATCTATAAGAGTGCATACTTCATACTTGGTCTCACATATAATATCCTACTGTCACACACACAAGACTAAACTCATATACTATTTTAGGGTAAAAATTAAGCGCCATCTATGCTCTTTGATTTGATTCTGCAGTTTCATATTTGATTTTATAGTTAAACCAGTCTCAGTTTTGGAAATTGAAAATAACACACATAACTGCTGCTTAAAATATTGAATCATCTATAAGATAAAAGAGAAGATACTATTGAAAATGTTACAGTTTACCACTAAGACTGCCCTTTAGAATTCATGTCAGGTTTTCTGTCGGGAAAATCTGAAACATGCAGGGCAAGCAGGAGTTATTTCCAGCCATAAAACAAAGTCCATTTCACCATCTACTGGCTGGAGGCTGTCATGGCCTTCCAAAGGACCACGACAAATTGAGATTAGCATTTATTCCTGACACTTACCTGCTCCTACGATAAAAGGATGGAAACAGGGTTTGTATCCACACCAACATCCAGAAACGTGCCAAGAGTGATTCAGAGTGGAATGAATGCTTAAGGGGAAACTTTGGGCTGTGTATTTTTTAAGACGTATCCAGAGGCTGAGGATGGATGTACAACATTTTATAGTCCAATCAATACCTAATGTAAAAGAACATCAAAAACATTCATCAGGATATTGATACCCACCTTAACACAGATAAAACTTCCTATAAATGACCAAAATGCACTACATTGCCATCATGTGGGTTTAATTCAGCCGAGCAGACGCACAGCGTGGGGTCAAAGTTCAATTATGACGTACACAAATAGGAGCGGACGTAGTAGCACGGACATATTGTAAACAAGCATTTTGTGAACAATATTATTTAACTTCTGTGTACAACTATTTGAAAGAAATTATTTATGTGGTTTGTCTTTAATATCCGGTGAACCTTTTTACCTTTTGAGGACGACTCGGTCCGTTGAAAAGTCAGTTATGACATAGCATCTTAGCTAGCTGGGAGCGTTAGCCCAGGCAGTCGCGTACCATGGATGCGCTGAGCATAGTAACGGATGAAGTGGCTTTGGAGGGACTGGACGGGATAACTATCCCCAGTCTCTGGATACGACTTAAAAATGCGCAGCCCAAGTTTCCCCTTAAACTCGACAGCTATACCAAAGAGTTTATCTGGAAGTCTCTAGTGAACAACACCGAGCTGAGTTTCTATGAGCTCCCACAGGAAAGAGAGGATGTGAAGATCTTGGACAGGTGACTATTTTGCTCACGATCAGACAAGAAGATGCTTTCTCCGGATTATCCAAGATCCCATCAGATCACTTTGTCAGTCAGCATTATTTAAATCCACGTAATTATTTATTTATTATTCAGCTGTAATGCTCTAACGTTATTCTCACTCAGGATACAGCTCAGATCTAAATCGTTATACCATATAAACTACTACAAAGCTTTTTTTACTTTTTACATTTTCGAATGGTTAATAACTTTAACCCCTCATTGGGTTAAGTTTTTTAATCCCTCTGATTGCTTTATCATTTTACCATGTGGTTTACAGTGATGTTGTGTGTTTACAGGTTTAGGGGCATTGACCCAGAAACAGGCACTGACACAAGAGACTTGAGTCCTGATGAACTTAAAGATGTCTATCCCATCCATGTCATTCCTGAGAACAAGGATGGGATTCAGGGCTCTTGTGTCTTTTTCAAAGAGAGAAAAGACATCACAAAGCAAATCCGATCCAAGTCCCTCACCCCGTTGGTTGGCATGGAGGAAGCTTTGCAAAAGTTGGTTGAGATTGAAAGTATTCATTCCTTTATGATGTGAAATGCTGCATACAGGGTTTATCTTTTATCCTTTTTTTTATTTAACCCTCTTAGGTATGGGCAAAAACTCGTTGTAGTGGCGTCTCAGGCTTTGCGATTTCAAACCCTGATCGGCATTGAGAGTGATCCCGACTTAAAACTCAGCAGTGACTCTTACTGTGTTCTGGAAAGAGTGGGCCGGGCGCGGTGGCAAGGGGAGTTACAACGGGATCTTCACGGGGGCCTTTTCAAGTAAGAGACAGGCTTTCCTGTTTTGTATTCAAATCTGTGTTTAGTTTATCAGACAGTGTCGCGTTCTTGCAGGGTGGACGCTCGGAAATTTCACTACTTGAGGAAATCTCTGGTCAAACACGAGCTGGTCACCACACAGCCTTACATCAGACGACCGAAGGCGGGACAGCAGCAGCACACTATCCTTCTCCTTCTGAAACGCTTCCATGCAAACAGGTTTGTTTGATTCGTATTTGCCTTTTTACAAAGGACGTATTACCTTCAAAGGCCTTTGCACCCAGCTGTCATTTCAAACAAAGACGAATCCACCAAGAAGGTTTCTTATTTTAGACTCCTGTCAGTTTCTGACACAGTGTTCACGTCTCAGTAAAGTGGAAATTTAAAGTTTTCTGTTTCTCCCTCCCTCTGTTACTGCCTTTCCCCCGTCCTCCTCCCTCTCCTCTTTCTGCTTTCTCAGGCGAGGCATGTATGAGGTGCTGATGGAACAGGTGTCCAACTTCCTCAAGCAGGTACCGTGCCATTTCACCACCGTGGACATACTCAGAGAACACCTTGTAAGTATTTTCGCAGAAGTTTGAAGGCATGAAAAATGTTTTTATTTTGTTTGCCGTGACTAAATTTGGGGGCTGGTCCTCTTTTTTTACTTCCTTGTTTATCCTGTAGAATCTGAATGATATTGTGTTCAAACGGCTATGTAAACACATGCGAGCTAGCAACTTGACAGAGTTTTTCCAGTATCCCTTGGAGGACTTGGACCCCAGCGCTGGACCGTGCACCAACAAAAATGGTAATGGGAGCATGTTTCCAAAAAAGTTTCAAAGATTTATAGTTTGTTTTTTAACATGCTATCTAAAACATGGACTTCATTATCTTTTTGACGTTCCAGGCAGCAAAGTTCTAGTCCGGTGCGTGAAACTGTTAAAGCCATGTGCAAAGAAGGGTGTCAATGATGATGACGATGACGACGACGATGATGAAGATGAAGAAGATTTTTCCGGTGGGAGAGGAAGAGCCCTCCCTTCAGAGGGACGAATCATGGAGAGGGACGTCATATCTCAGGCCTATCGCATCAGTAGGTCCCGTCACAGCTCTCTGCTCAGAGATTGATTAATCCTTTATACATCATTTATATATATAAAGGAAGAGCAGAAAACCTTTATGTGGCCACAAGTCACTAGAGCAGCATCCCCTTGCGGTATTATGATTTTTTAGACATGAAAAAAGTAAAAGACACTGTTCAGCTGAGGTAAACTTATCTGATGTCTGTGAAGTCCTTTCGGTTTTCCACAAAAGTCCTTACATGGGTGAAATTGTAACTGGGATCTAGTGGATGAAGGCAACACTGTGTTTTCTTATTGTGTGTACAAACCTTTACTTTATGAACACTAAGCTTCTTAAAAATGATACTGCAACCATCTCAAGAGCTGACCCATGCGTTAACTCTTCTTTTGTCCTGCTCTCTAATTTCAGTACTGTCATCAGGTACAAAGGGAATTCCACAGAGGGCCATCTCACAAAAAATGAATGTCGGTAAACTGGAGTCTCGAATGATCTGGCGAAAACTGGAGAGGACTGGTTTTATTAAGGTACACCCTGTTCTCCACTTTTGATGTGCACTGGAAGTCGACCACCATGGCATAAATGCTTTGATTTGTTTCGTATTCCACATCCTTTCCCAACAAGATAACTAAAATTTGCCAGACACTTTGACTGTAAATATTAGTTGTCAGCATTCTGAAATTAGTCTTCAGTATGTACAGTCTCACCAAGCCACAAGAATAATAACTATAAACCTTTTACGGAAGAGTCAAACCACTAACTTCTGCATAAAGTAAGATATGAAATTATCCTTCTGATCTTGTTTTTAAAAAAAGAAAATCTACTTATCTTATGTAGAAAGTTTCATTTTCAGTTTGTTCCTTTTAATGTCTTTCATTCGTGCAGGGATTTATGGAGGATGAGGGTCGGCAGAGGACTACTAAATTTATCAGCCACAGGTCTGTCCAAAGTAATACATAATTCTGAACTCGTCTGTCAGCACTGGATAATATCTATTCCTATCATTTTTCCACTCACATCTCTGGACAGGTGTGTGGGAGTCAGTGATCAACTCCAGCTGGTTGCTAAAGAGCAGGAGCGGAAGAAACAGCTGTCCTCCTCTGCACCTGAAATATCAGAGGCCGACCCCGGCACCTCGAACACACCACCGTCCTCCAAGTTGCCGGCCAATAAAAAGAGCAAAACCCCAGCTGACAAGATGAGCCAGAAATCAGGTGTGGATGAAAACAAGCAAAAAGAGATGTGTGATGATGGAGGAGAGGATCAAGGGTCGGGTGATAAAAAAGGAAAAGGAAAGTCGAGAGCGCAAAGAAAGGCATCGACAGAAGGAGCCAATGAGAGCACAGAGCAGCCAGAAGCCGTGGTTCCCACCACACAACCTCCACCAGCTGAATGTGAGCATTTGTTTTATCTCCACCTCACCATTTCTGAGCTGGGATGATTTATTGGCCTGTCGTTGTGTTGACAGCTCATTGTATATTCAGCTTCTTAAACCTCTGTCTGGTCTCAGGTGAAACTCCAGCCTGCAGTGGACTAGAGACCAGTGCGGCATCTGAGTCTGGGGACGTTCCTGCTCCAGGTACATTTCAGAAATGGACATAAACTCAGAACCCGTGAAACCTAAAGGAATCCTGTGCTTTGAGTCAGCAGATTTGGAAAATCCAACTGTATCTGAAAATGCCCTTATTATTTTTGGCTTCTATTTTGATTTGGGCAGAACTATCTGACATCACAGTTGTAGGTTTTATTGGGACATGTTTATTTCCAATCCTGACGAGACTATATTATGTTAGTGACCTCAACAATATTGATGTTTATTTATTTTGTGAGTGTTTCTCTTTATTAGGGTAAAGTTTGCTTTGTTATAATGTGTCATATCTGGGGTTTTTTCTTTTCTATTAGATCAAGCCGTGGTGAAAGAGCAGGAGTTATCCAACTCCCCTCGTTCCAGTCCTCTGCCTCCGAGTGAGGGTTTAGACAGAACTGACAGCCCGACTGACAACAACATTGTGGTTGTAGATAGTGCTTTCCACCCACAGGTGAGTCTGATGGATCATTTTTTCCCCCTGAGCAGAATAGTTTGAGCTGACCTGGTTTTCTTCCTGCTCCACCAGAGGTGTCATGAGACGTACCGCCACCTGAAGAGGAAGAACCTGATTGTTGAGGCTGTGCAAAAGTTTAAAATCATAGATGGCCTTTTCCCGTCAGTTTGTTTTTCTCTTCTAATTTTATTTTCTTTTTATTAATTTTATTTTATATTTGCACCTTAAGAGACGGTTCTGATTTTTTTTTTTTATAGGCTTCAAAAGATCATCGGTGAAGAAGAGAAGCAGGATGGGTTCAGTTCGAAGTGTTGCAAGAAGACTATTTTACGTCTCGTTCACACTCTGTCTAAAGAGGGCTTGCTTAAGATGTACACGACCACTGTCATACAGGATGGGATCACCAAAAAGGTACAAATTATGCTCTCTATCACAAGTTGAAGCAATTTCCTGCGGTCTTCATGACTCCTACCCTGGTAAAAAGAATTTATTCAAATCAAATATAAAACTTGTATTTATTGGCCTGTTTATTACTTTTTTTTTAAGGAAACAATATAAGTAAGGATGAGATTCAATTCCAAAATCAAGAGTAAATCAGTTTAGGGTCAGTAAATGCAGCATCTTCTGAGTTTATAGTTGGGAGTAGATAATATGAGCGGTGTCTGGATTACCATAGTACGATGAATGTTATCCTGCAAATCCAGACAGCTCACAGAACCACACATTTTTAGATATATGGGGCAACAACAAGGTTTTAAAACATATAGGCAATGACAGATAGCTTTTTTCAATAATTTTACTGTTAATGTACAAACTGAATGCAACTTAATGATTTGATATGGGCAATGCTGATAAACTTATAACACAAATGTTTGTTTGTTAACTTCATTTTGAATTTTTTTAATTAAACCGTATTTGATCTTTTATCTTAGTTAATCACAGATATAATTTTTAAAGTTTTTTTTCTCTCTCTCTCTCTCTCTCTCTCTCTGATCTTCTGGCACATGTAGGTTGACATGGTAGTTCATCCATCCATTGAGCCCAGCGATGAAAGAGTTACTCAACTTATTGAGCAAGTCCGGTTCAAAATCTCCAGCTCCTACTCTGCTGTACGGTAAGAAAAAGCAAAAAAACAAGGAAACACATGCAAATCCATTTTATTTTTTATTCATTCAAATGACAAATCTGTAAAATGATCAGACTGATTGATCCGACTATGTAGTCTGCTCAAAGTTCTGATAATTGGACCTAACAAAGCCAAAGCTTAAATATGGGTCAAATCAAAGAGGAAATATGGCCTCCAGATTTGTTCCTAAGGGGAAAAATGACCTGTGACTCAGAGGTGAAATGTAGATTTTGGGAGACTGGAATATTAACCCACATCAAAAAAATAATTAAATAGTTTTTGGAACTATATGAACATGTATTTTATGATGAGGAATTATTACCTTTTTTTTTTTTTAACCTAACGTATCTTCCTCTCTCTATGCCATGTTGGTTTTCTTCCCAACAGACAGCAGCAAGCTGAGGAGAAAGCAAGAGAACAGAGAAATGATCTGAAGAGTTGCATGTCACAGAGGAGCAGGGGTTTAAAAAAAAATGGTGATGATGAAGATGACATCGACTTCAAGCCCACACCAGGTGCTTTTGCAATTAATTTAATATAGTATGAAAAAATGGAATCTGGTTCAATGTATTTCAAGTACTTCAAATATGATATCTTTTAGTTATTGAGGCTTTGATAGATACAAAACTCAGAGGTGTGTTAGTCTGTAGTAAAATGTTAAAAACCTAATATTGTCCCAAATGTCTTTCATGAATATTTTTAAATGTCATAAACAATTTGAAAGTTTTCCATTATTATTTAATATAAATCATAGTCCAAGGTTTTATTTAACCAAATGTCAAGACTCAAGACATACTTTTTCTTGATAAGGAACAGATAGTAGAAAAAAGCATATTTCAGGAGATGACATTTGTCAAGTGACTGACCGTTGTCTGTTGATTTTCCCACTTTTCCTGATTTCCTCTAACTCTGAATTTTCATAGTTCGAGGGCTGGGTAAAATACTGGGCTTCCAACCCAAAATGTGTCGTCTGCGTGTCGTGCATGGCTTCCTCTGGTACCTTATCTATGGGCACCCGCTCCAAGGCAAGTTCACAGATCCAGCCAGTCAAATGCCAACAGACCCAAACAGCCCCAGCTGTGACGCCACACACCCAGACGGCCAAGAAAGACAGGACCCCAGTGATAAAGAAAGCTCGAATGTGTCAAACTTGGTTGAGGCATCAGCTTATGAGGAAGAGCTGCTGAATGACAAATCAAAACCTGGTCTGTCTGAGCCTGATATAAAAGGTGAAGGAGCGTTTTATAAGATCTGCATATAAGAACCTCATTCCCATGAGGCTTTCACTCTGTACATGTGATGTCTTTTTTTGTATTACCTGACGCTGCCTAAGAGGAAGAAAACTGCTCTTTTATGATCATTTCTCCATATTAAGTATGCTGTTTTTTTCTAAAAATGCTGGTTGATTTTTGTATAGTGTATGCTGATGAGGACACGTGGAAGAGATTTGTCCCTCCTGTTCGCGTACATAAGGACTTCACCAGTGGCTGGGCCATGGTTGGCGACCTGCTCCTCTGCTTGCCTCTTTCCACTTTCATGCAGTTCACACAGATCAATTATAAGGTGAGATTAAAGCTGTGTGTACAGGGCGGGGTGCCGTGTAGCTCAATGTCCAGATATGTGGAAAAGTAATTTGTTTGGTGGCATAATCTTCAGGTTCCACTGGTGACTGCTGTCTGTCAGATTAATGTCAGAACCCACCTGGGATCAAAGATGACCTGTTATGGCTGGAGTTTTTTTCTTCTTCTCTAATTCAGATACATTTTTGAAAAAGTTCATCTCAATTTACCTTATTAAATTGAGACAGCAGCGAGAAGCAGTTGTTTATGTCTATGGTTGACGGTTTGGGCTTGTTCTGTTATGCTGTATTAGTTTTACTGAGCATTAAAGAAACGGTTCATGAGAAAGTTGGAACACTTGATGGCATTTCGCAGCCTGGTTTGTTCTGTGTCCACAGGTAGATGAGCTGGAGGACTATCTCAATGACCCTGTGAAGCAACACTATCTTGTCAGAGCACTGCCTTGGAAAATGAAGAGACAACTCCTTTATAAAAGGTGCCTTCCCCTCTGCCCTGTTCACCTCCACATGTCGGTTTTACTCCAACACATGGACACCATTGTTGAAAGCTGAAAATGTTTCATGCTTCCTTTTCCCAGGAAATACATTCACTCTTTTCACGAGAACCTTCAGAAGTTGGCCTACATGGGTCTGCTGCAGTTTGGAGTTGTTGAAAAGTTCAAAGAGAAAGATCAGGTATGATTACTTCTGAGTAATCATACCTGAATTACTAATAATTCTCAAACCTCTTGAATTTGTGGTGAAAGGGCATTTAAAACTGAAAAAAAAAGAATCAAACCTAAAGGATATATTCTTCACCTCACTCTCACGCAGGTGTTTGTGTATCTGAAGCGCAACGCCACGATTGTTGACACCACCAACACTGAGCCTCACTATTGGCTGGTCTCGGAGTCTCCCGACCAGCCATTTGAGAGGCGCAAGTACACATTCGACACTGCCAAAGACGTGGAGACCTACTGGTTTGACCTGATGTGTGTCTGCCTCAATACACCGCTTGGTACGAACAAACACAACCATAAAAACACTCGTGCGCACCTAGTCTGAGGAATGGATGTCCTGTGAAAAATAAAAATTTTCACTATTTGACAATGTGGAAGTCATCACTTTCCTTTTTTTTTTAAAGGTATAATTCGTAATAAGAGGTATTTGACAGATGATGAAGTTCCTTCGTTTGTTCATGAACCCACTGTGTTTGCTGGAATGGCCCACATGCTAAAGTAAGTGGAGGATGGTTTGGACTCCAGATAAAAGAAAAAGGCAAACTGATGTGAGCGCATGTAAAGAAAGCTTATTTATTATTCATTTCAGTGAAGGTTAAATGTCCTGATCTTTGATATTTCAACTACATTTACTACACTGTTTACCATTCAGGACATTGGTTTATTTGGTGTAATGTTAGTATTTACATTCTCATGTTATTAAGGACAGTCATGACATATAGTCCTTATTACCTGTGTTGACATATGTTTCTCTGTACACACACACACACTCAGGGGCAGTTATGAGGTGTGTGATGATGGGTCGATACCAGGAGACGGTAAAGGAGCAGGAGGCCTGGACTCTGAATTTTTTGGTCATCTTAAACGCAACTGGTATTGGACCAATCACCTACTGGCTTGTAAAACGGTATTTACGCACAACTCAAGCTTGTACAACCTCCTATTAATATGTACACTATACAGACTGAAAGCACACTCTTCTTTTAGAGGCCAGCTGATCCCGAGACACCCCAGGCCAAGGTCAGACTGAAGAGCCTCCTCGGTAGAAACGCTCTCAGAATTGCTCTTCAAGCTGGTGAGTTTCCCTGGAAAATATCACGTTTTCCACCCCCCAACCTTCTGCATTCAAACCTGGCACAGCTCTTTGGGCAGCTCCTTATATTTTCTCCAAATTTAAACAGGAGAAAGCACTTCACCGCGTTATTTGACCAACAAGCGTTCCCTGATGGCAGAAAAAGTGCAGGTATGGCTGTCACCGATCTCATTCTATTAGAATTTCATCCCTACTCTTTGTTGCCGGCTTTTTTGGTATATTTATTGATTTATTAGAGATTGTTGTGACAGGTGTGATTTGAATAGCAGGTGAACTATATTCATATAGTAATATTGAAAATCTTTTTTTTTTTATTTCCAGAAACTACACTTGTATAGATTGTTTAGATTGGCACAGAATGTGTTAAAACAATGGTTAAAACATACAAGCGTACTCAGTTGGAGCTGAGAGGATTTTGTCCGTTCTGAATCCAGCAGCTGAATGTTCTGGATGAATGTGAGAAGGAATGTGATTGGTGTCTTTGCATCCAGGTGGGTGTGGAGCCGGCCTCAAGAAACCAGCAGGTTGTTGGAGGAAAGGGACAGAAGCGAAAGAGAAGTAAAAGAGAGGTAGTCAGGAGCTCACGCAGGAAGAGAAAAGGTACACCGTGTGTCGTTTACCCCCAGTTCTGTCTGCGACTGAAAAGCCTGACTTTGGGCGGCTGACAGAGTGTGTCGTTTGTCTTCAAAGAGCCTAAAAAACGCACACCTGCCCATGACGAGGCCGACCACCGGGCTTTAAAAATGATGACCAAACAGAGAGTGTGCTGGTCTGTACAGGAGGACTCACTGATGATGCTCTGCTCTATTGCCTCATACATGCTCAACAGCAAAGTATATACACACTTGTAAAAAAACAGACAATTTTCCACCACACAGCCGGGGGTGGAATCGTAAAACCCCTCTACCTTTGTGTTGCAGTTACCCCGACCGTTCATACCTCACTGTGTGGTAAGAGATTTGCTGCACGCCGAGTATGAGATATCGGTAGACAAAACATCCCTTTCCGTCGGACGTCGCTCCAGATATATCCTCAAAAATCCTCAGACGCTCCTAAACTACAGGTGGGTGCAGACAGCAAACGCAGGACGGTTTTGGCTGGTCTCTTGGGAGGTTTTACTCAACAAACTGTCTGTGGTAGGATCTGTCTGGCTGAGGTGTACCAGGACAAAGCTCTGATAAAGCTGCTGGAGGAGAAGAAACCCGCTGACCCTAATAAAGCCGAGGTGTCTTTCTATTCATACAGTTACTGTTTGGATTCTGTCGAAAGCTGACCTTTTGGCTTGAGACTTGAAAAACGTTCCACCCGTCTCCCTTTTTTTTAGGACTGTGCCAATACGTTCTCCGAGTACGTCAGGCTCCTCAGACAGAAGTTCAGCTCTGTCCTGACCACTCATGACGTGAACATGCTGGACTCTAAACAGGAGCTCTTCTCTCGGTAACAGACGCAGGAGGTCTGATGTTGTGTGTTAAAAGCAGACGTTCTGTTAGTAATGAGCCGTGTGTGTTTTACAGGTACAAGGTGTGCGTAATAGATAATGGCAGAGAGGCCACCTGGAAAGACACTCTCAACAGGTAAAGATTCAGAGAGATTTCACTGAATATGATTTTCTTAGTTAGTAGATGTTAACGGTCTGTGTTCCCCTTAACAGCACAGATGACATTCATACCATTGTGTTGCATAACCTAATCCAGAGCACTCTGGCCATGACCAACAATCAGATGAAATCCTCCACATCCTTTCAGGTATAGTGACTTAAAAATGCATCTTTTAGTTGTTTTTTTAAATGACGCTTTTTTTTTTAATTCTACCTAAAACAATCAAAATAGATGAAAAAGGTTCAATAATAAAATAATGTGAATAAAGAAAAGTTTGTCTGTGTATAATTACTGACTTCCAAGGACTTCCTTTCCTTTGACCTCAAGCAGTCTGATGCCAAACACAAACGGGTCTAATTTCCCCCCTGAATTCTGTTTTAGACTTTCCACACATACTGTAGGTATGATCAGGAGCTGCTGTGCAAAGTGTTCATCCAGTGCAGGAGGAAGCGATTGGTCAACCGCCGGCGCGTCAACCAGTCATTTGGGCCAAAGAAGAATCGAGCGCTGCCCATTTTACCCATGTCCTTCCAGCTGTCCCAGTCCTACTACAGGTAAACTTATGTTTTACTAGAGTTTGAAATTGATCATATGGCAAATCAGCTTTTTCCCTCCTCTTCCTGACAGGGTGTTTTCTTGGCGTTTTCCTCTGTCATTGTGCACCGATTCCTTCCGCTTCTTAAGGAGCTTAATCACCAATGGGACGGGGGATGAAAGGCCTGTCACTACCTTCTACCATGAAACTGGAATCCGGTCGCAGAAAGACGGGTTGATGTTGCGGGAGGAGAAAAAAGAGTCGGTGAGAAAAGAAAAGAAGAATGGAAAAAAAGAAGATGGCAGACAAGGAGGTGAGCTGCAGATGCAGCCTGAAGCTCCAAATATTCATCCCACGAAGGAAGGAGAAAACATCCAGAGTGAAAGGGCAGGAGAAGAGAAGTCAATGGAGTCAAAGGCGAACGATGACAAAACCGAGGAGAGGAGCACGTCAGAACAACGCAAGAACCCAGAATATTCCCTCACATCTGAATCAAATGAGGCTTCAGTAGAGGATCAACCAAACGAAGAGCCAACGGAAGCGCCAGCCACTTCAGCCACAGCTTCTCGAGCTTCAGAGGACCCTCCAGATGTGTCGGACATGCTGCAGTTCTCCCTGAACCATCCGGGAGGAGCCTGCGCCGCGTCTCTTAGCCTGATGACTCTGGGACTGCTGAACGTTTTCATCTCCATCCCCAAACAGATCGTGGTGGTGGACAGTAGCCTGGTGGACAACGACGTGGCAAAGAGGTGAGTCATGGTTCATGTCAATCTATGGTTGGTCTTACTTTTTTCCCTCATAGCTGCAAGTTAAGTAGAATTTTGTGCTGGAAATGCAATTACCTTTAACAAAAAAGCTAAGATCCAGCAGACAGATATTTATTCTGAAAAAGAATACATTTGATTCTTTTTTATTTAGAAAAGAGTCAAACCTTTTTTTTCTCTCTTCAGTATGGCTGCATTAGAAGAAGATGACGATGATGATGATGGCGTGGAGTGCGAGGGGAAAAAACGTGTCCAAGTCACGTCGCACCAAGCTTCCCACACCAACTATTTGATAATGAGAGGATACAGCTCTCCGGGCATCAGTAAGTCGTTACTGTCCTCGGCTTAAGAGTTTGATCTCTTTAAGATGAACCAAAGAAAGGTTTCTCTCACTAAATATAGTGTTTATTTGTTTTTTACATGTACCATTCTAAAAAGAAATTCTCCTCATTGTATCCTCTCTTTGTAAATCAGTTTATACAATTAAAGAAAAACGTACTTATTATTTAAAAAAAAAAAGCTTATTTACTGAGATAAGAACAAAATCAAAGTCATGTAAAAACTGAGGAGAAAACAAAACTATTCAAAAGAAAAAACTGTTGTTGGATGTAAACCTTAAACTTAGTTTTCCATCTGTCAAACAGAAAATGTCATAATAGCCAGTGTTACAGAGAAATTAGGGAGAAACATTGTTATTGCATATCAATCAGCGATGAAACATTTATTTGTTGCATTCCGCATCAGATTTGCAAATTGTCTTGTGTTTCTCCAGTGAAAATGCGCAACCTCAGCAACAATGACAACATCGTTTTGGAGTCGTGCATCATGAGTTTGCAGCTGCGCAGCACGCCCGCTCACCAGGTCTTCAGCGAGGACAGTAAGTGTCCGAGCGGCCACCGCTCGTGCAGCCAGTTGTAGCCAGCACACACACGCCCTCTTTTTTTTACTCCCTCCACCATTTCCTTTAGACTCTCCGCCGCTGGAGTTGACCAAATGTGGCCCTTCCCTGCTGCCCCCCACCCTCACCTGTTACATCCGCTCCCCCTGCTCTCCTCCGCTGAGCGTGGAGGAGTGCGACGGCCTTTTGATGCAGCAAAAGGGCTACACCGCTCGGGACGTAGAGGCGTGTGCCCGGCTCAGGAGGAGCTTGGATGAGGCTGGTGAGAGCGGTTTGGACGAGCAGCGCCTCCACGTGGCTCATTCCGACCTGCTGGAGCCTCAGCCCGGACACACCGGCACCCTGCAGCAGTATCTGAAGGTGTGTGTCCACACACTCCTAATACACAGGCGTGTATAGTCGTCCTCATTTTACAGACTTCCTTTATTTTATCTTCTTTTTTTCCCCCTAATGTCTAAACGTATTTTACTGAAGCTGAAAGCCCAAAATAGTTATTGAAGTATCTAAGGACAGTCCAAAGCCCTTTGGGAATCATCCCATAAGCTTGTTCATGAATATTGTAGTCTCACCAGAAATGTCCCAAAATGCTTTTGAAAATATTGTGCATCATTGTGCTCTTTAGCCGGTCAAAGCACGCTGATTTCTTTCCTCCAATTTATTCTTTATTTAATTTGAATTCACTCACAGCTGCGCAAAAACGGCAATATGTTCTTGTAAGGAAATGTTCATTTTCTCTGAATGCTTTCAGTTTGCATTCAAGACATTTTCCTTTTTCTTTTTTTTGGCTCTAGGATCTCCAAGAAGAAGGCCATGTGGTGCGGGTTGGGAGTCTGGGTGTTCGCTGGGTGCTCATGCGGCACGCTGAACCCTGGCTGCTGACTGTAAGCCCCAAGCAGTCGTCTCGCTCTTACCCAACTTCAGGGAAATCTCCCTTTCTGAAGAGTCGGCACAACATCCCTTTCATGCGCAAGAGGAACAGCCGAGAAGCGAGTCGGGGGACGGAGGAACCGCCTGCAAAAAAGCCGGCCGAGGGCGCCGGCGTAGAGGGTGCGAGCGGCTCGTCGGGCAATCTGACAGAGACGCTAAATGAGGAAGAACTGCGGGTAGAGCCAAAAGAGAGGAACGATGAGGAAAACAAAAGCGAGCGTCTGAATTCGCAAGAGGAGGGGAGTGTGCGGACACAGCCTGAGAAGGAAGGGGAAGGAGAGGTACAGGGTGAAACTGACCAAAGGCAGCATCAGAAAAGGGAGCTGAGGCCCAGGAAAAGTAGCACGGATGAAGAAAGACACGCCGAGGCTTGTTCTCCACCGACGGCATCGGCTGATGAGGAGTAAGTATCAGTGCAGTGCTTTACCCTGCAAGTCGTTTTGTCCTCATCTCTAACCCCCCCCCCTCGCACAGGGAAAGCTTGAGTTTCATCAGCCGGCCGTGGCGCCTGGTGGATGGCAAGCTGAACCGGCCGGTGTGCAAAGGCATGCTGGAGGCGCTGCTTTGCCACGTCATGTCCCGGCCGGGCCTTACACAACAGAGTCTGGTGGAGCATTACAAAGACGTGCTGCAGCCAGTAGCCGTCCTGGACCTCATGCAGGTAGAAACCGAAAGGCCTCACACAGGGGGGCCGCACGTCGGGTCAGGTTTCAGTCCTCTCCCTGTTCCTGCTTTGTATTCCCTTTGTGTATTCTCATGGTTTGGTTTGGCTTTGGTTACTTTGTTAACTTCACTTGTCTTTAGGCTGCTTTACACTGTGGCCTGTTAAGTGATACTGCTTTCATTTGGCCAAAAGCTACACTTATTTTTCACGTATCGCCAATTTTTCAAACAATATCGAACCTTACAATTTATGTAGTTACATTGTCCTTCAAATTTCTGCTAGTAGATGAAAAGATTTATGTTAACAACAGAATTGGTTATGGTAACAGGAGTTTTAATGGAATAGTTTTATGTCATGATATGTGTACAGATCAAAGTCTGTCGAGTCAGCTTTTTATAGGTAAAGCTACTCTCTCTGTCCCCCTACAGGTACTTCTAGACTTGGGCTGCGTGACTAAGAAAACGTTGGTTAAGGATCCTAAGCCCTCGCTGTTCTCTCGCTGGGAGCAGAAAAGCAGAGGCGAGACAGCTGTGAAGGTGGAGCAGCCCGACACGGTGTTTTACGAACCCACCATCAGCGGTTGCTTGAGACTCTGTCAGGTGTTGCCCAACGAACGGCACTGGAACGACTTCATACCATGAAAGTATTCGTCAGGGTCGCACTGACTGAGCTCTACTCCTCTTTTTTTTTAACCCCAAGGGTTTAAGTAAGACGTATCAAACATCCGGCTCACGCGATGCTTAAAAAATGAATGACTCCTTACCAACATCTCTTTGTTGTTTGTACATTTCTTTCTTTTGATTTTTATTTTAAGCACTCAGATGTTCTGTGTTCTATTTGAATGACTAGATAGTCTGTTGTTTTACATTTTGAATATTAAATAAAGGTACAATTTTGGCTCCTATTGATTTTGCTTTAAGCTGAGCGAACTTGATAAAAGTGTTCCATTAACTACAGTAACAACAACAGTGGACATGATGAGCTGATGAGCATCGAAGAGCTCAGAGGAATTTTTACTTGAATGAAGTTTAAATGAAAAAACAAAAAGAAGAAAGGAAATTCAGCCAAACATCAAAGAGCCTTTTCATTTTAGTGTAAAACTAAACCTCAGTATTCTTGTTAAAGGATGAGGAATGGCCACGATGCGCGTGCACTATTTGCAGTTTATTTTTATTTGTAAAAATATAGATGACAAAAATGAGCTGAAGCTTCAGTGGCAGCTCATACACTCCTCTTCATCAGCTCAGATGCCAATTAAAAAAAACTTGAAAATGGAGGAACATTTAACCTCTGAGGTTCTTTGATATCTGCTGAATTCCACCTAAAAACTGATCAAAAGTCACTACAACCCGTCTTTTAATGTTATAAGACAAATATCTGCCCCAAAATGAAAGACCCAGAGGGGCAATTTACACAAGGCCCTGACGGACCTTGTTGCCAGGACATGTGTGAGAGACAGTATCTTGTTTAGAGAGTTCCAAGTGTTCAGATTTTAAAGGTTCAAAAACACGGCATCTGGCAAGGAGTGACTGAAAGAAAGCAGAAAGCCTGTTCATGGATGTTGGAACGATAACCATCAGGGTTTTCAGGAATTTCATGAATGCACCGCTCTGATCCGTTTCCTTTTCATCTGAAGACAACAGGTCAGACTTTTTTTCCACCTGATATTTCGTTTAGCTTTTCTATAGTTTGGGTTAGTATACAGTCAACACATGCACAAATATTACATTTAGGAAGTTGTATGCACTCCGTAGTGGTTTAGATACGAATAAACATGATTAAAATTCACCACATCTTCATGTAACAGGAAAAGAGAAAAAACTTAAACAGGAATTTGAAAGGAAAACAATCTACACTGACCAGACTCTTTGGCACGACGGGATCTGATGTTGGATTGTTTTTTTTGTCAGACCGTTTTGTGCAAAAAATGTCAGAAAAAATGTTTTTACGGTTTGTTCTTTTGGCTGTTTCCTACTTTACCTTTCTGAAAATCGGTTGTATGAAATGCATTGTAAGGTAAGCTTCTTTCTTTTGTTGATCTGTTTGTTTCTTAAATCAGTGCTGTCTCTGGTGAACATGAGTTTTACCTGCTGAAAATAACCTTTACAAGAAACTGGCTCTTTAGTATTAAGCTGTTTGAATTTTCTCTGGGCATTGCTTGCATCTTCTTACTTTTTATATTTTTCCTTTTTTCTTGTTAAAAGCTAAATTTGTATATGTGTCGCTCTTGCTTACAGTCTGTTATAAGCAAATTAAGTTTAAATGACAGACAATGAAGTGCATGAGTGCAGAGGGGTGAGCCTGTGTCAAGGCCAACAGCCAAATGCAGACTGAAACTGGCACCTTTTCTTCCTGTTCAAAATGGAGGAGGGCTCTCAGAAAACAGATGAGGAAACTCTGCCATTAGGAGCTGCCCTCTGTCCAGCCGCAGTCCACTTATTTCAGCCTCCACGCACCGAGTCAACCCACCAACAGTGACGGGCGGAAATGTCTTCTTCTTTTTATGCCTTTTTGGTGCTTTTCCTGTGGAATTTTCTGTCTGATTCTCAGGCGTTCGATTGTAAAGGTAAGTTTACATTTACGCATGGTTTTGTGTGCTCTGAAAACTATTGTGTTTGGGTGGAGAGGAAAATTGGAGGAAGGAAAACATTCTGAGAGTCTCCATTGTCTAGGATTACAGAGTGTTTATGCAATGCTGTAATGTACTTAGAATATGGTATACTTATAAAGAATATTCTTACACAAAATCTTGATGATTACTTTGTTTCCCACAGAACATGTGTGTGAAGACAATCCCGAATTCACTCCATCCACACTGGTGGTGAAATACGGAAAGCCAGCCTTCGCCACATGTGAAGCCTGTAAGAAAGGATGCCAAATAGGTGCTTTTAATATAGAAAGATCTGAGGGGATCGTTGTGGAGGACAGTGAGACCAAGCGGACATGGAGAGTTACCCACATTACACAGTGGGACAAGGATCCTTATTGCTATAATAATTTAAATGGCACATTTTGTTGCACCACCCTGGATGTTACTGTCTACCGTAAGTACATTTGTTCTAAATCTCAGCAGTTGTTAGAGAACATTTTCTGTTATTATGAGAATTCCATACCTTCATTGTTCAGGCAGACAGCTGTCTGGTGTCTGTTGTTGACAGACTCTTGCTTAGTTCGGGCCTCTTTTCTTGCTTCTCTCATTTCACAGAGCCTCCACAAGAAGTGTCCATCGGCTTTGTAAATCACACAGGGCCCCTGATGGAGGGCGGCCGTTACACTCTGCAGTGTGCTGTGCAGGACGTCGCTCCGATCAAGAACCTCGATGTCACTTTCTACAAAGGACAGATATACCTGGGCCAAGGGGAGTCCAAGGGTCAGCGGGAGTCCAAGACAGATCAGAGGACACCAGTGAATGAGAGCTTCTTTCTGAGCCTCACTGCCAGTAAAGAGCATAATGGAGAGTTCTGGTGTGAGGCCACACTGTTGCTGGGAGCAGAGTTCCCTCCAGTGGAGAAGTCACAAAGACTCACGGCTACAGTTTACTGTGAGTATGTCAAAAACCAAATCTGTTTTTGGTTCTTCCTCTCAGAACTCTGCAGTCACACACACACAGCTGTGGTACTACACAGTAATAACACACTTATTCCTAATCAGATCATTTTAACCAACAATAATTGGAGCTTTTTGACGAGGACCTGAACCACCACTGAGATTACTTCTGGTTCTGCTAACAGGATTTCTTTTATGTCTTCCTGCCCACAACAACAGATGGGCCAAAGCTGGACACATCTGCAAACCAAACCTCAGTGACCGTCAACAAGGGAGAAACTTTACAACTGAAGTGCTCGGCTGTGGGAAACCCTGAGCCCTCATACACCTGGATTCTCCCCTCCAGTAACAACATCAGCCATGAGAGTGTTTACATGGTTAAATCTGTGAGCTCTGAGCATGAGGGGAAATATATCTGCTGTGTCAGCAACATCGTGAGAGACGTTCAGATTACCTTTAATGTCAAAGGTGAGTTTAGTAAGGTTTGATTTTGAGATCTGATTGTTTTTATACATCATGATTTGTGTGTCTCAAAACAGTTTTTTCTCTCTCTTCTATAAGTACGACACACAGTCGGGCCGAAGGTGGACACATCTTCAAACCAAACGTCAGTCACTATCCGCCCAATAGAAACTTTACAACCGGACAGGTCAGCTGTGGAAACCCTGAGCCCTCATCCAACTGGACTGGTCGTCCTTGTCACCTTCCTGCTGATTACTTAAATAAAACATGAGTAAATCCACAAGTTGTAGTTGTAAACTACAACTTCAAGTACGTTTTCCGTTGTCACAGCCGACTTGCTTAAGTGCCTGCTAAGTAACCCTGCCTGAGAGGGAATGGACAGTATGACTTACACTGTGTATCTGCAACACTGTTTTTTTTTCTATTTTTGAGAATTGCTTGAATTTTTCTATTTGCAAGTATTTTCTTATGTTGCAGCTTTGGGAGTCTAACTCTTTGAAGCCTGTGGTATAAAGATGATTGTTTTAGCGACTTACAAAGTAGACACAATGTTACAGTTATCATAAAATCTGTAGAGGAAACACCCTAGTCAGAATCAGTGGGGATAGCAAAGATAGAGAGGGAAGTGCCGAAAGAGTGGTAGAGGGGGTACAGAGGTATGGGTAAGAGTTAGGATGGAAACTATATTTACTTAACAGGTTATCCAGTTCTTAATGTGTGTCATGCTTCTAATCCCTGTTCAGGTTTGAGCGAATATTATCACATACTATATCGCTGTCTCCTAAAAGGCTTTTACGTAAGGCGTCCTCTCTAGATCTGGTATTTGATGATGGCACTTCTCTGTGAAGCACAAAAATACTGCGACATTCAAAATAAAACTTGATGTCTTTTTATAAAATGATAATATCAAAAGAGATGATTCATTGTGTTGCTTTTTATTATCTTTAATAATTTTCTCTACTATGTTGATATTTCATGATGACCTCGAAGCTCTTCTGAGGTATGAGGGAGAATAAAACTTTTTTTCTGATCTTGTCGTAGTTAAACAGCCGTATATATGACGCTGATGAAACAAACAAGCAAAATTGGCTGTTTATATGAAGTTGGATGTCATGCCTTTTCAGGCATTCTACTAAACACAGCCTGGTTTTAAGTCAAAGTTAATTGATTTTACCTTTTAAGAGTCCAGAAACTTTCCGTGACACAGAAAATACCCCTCCTCAATCATATGCAGGATAGATGTGTATGAAAACTCTGACACATAATCCAGAATACTGCTGTGCTTTTGCTGGATATTGGTGTTTTTGTGATCTCCCATTGACAGTGCATCCTGGAATTGTACCCAGAAGCTCTTCAAATCACTCTCAGCCTGTTTTTTTAGGCCACCGGTACGTATCGTGATGTTCAGTTCACAAAGTCACCCACATCAACAGTATCCTTCGTACCGTTTTACAAAGAACAGACAGCGGGATGTCAGCCACAGTCTAACAGCCTCACGCGTCTGTGAAGAATCTTGTAGGGCTAAATCGGACCAAAGGGCCACAGCCTGCTGAGTAATGGCCTCAAATCCTGATTCTTTATTTGTTTAAATGCCATGCATTGTTTGAATGACCTTCAACTTGGCTGAGATTGGCTGACAAATTGCCAGCAGGATTTGCGTATTTTGTTGGGTAGAAATAAAATGGGTACAGTAAAGACTAGGAAGGGGGTGCATCCAACAGGGGTGGGACTAATATGAAATCACTGTCATTTCTGAGCTGCGTGGCAATCTGAATGTCCTCCAATGGTGGATGAATCAAGTATTTTTTCTGTTTCTATATGGAGCACCATGCCGGCATTTAGTGGGGTGAGGAGAGGGCACATCTGACCGCCTGGGGGTCAAAGTTTCAGTCCAGTTTTAAAGATATTGCCCAGCAAGTCACTTTTTTGTGGCTTTACTTTAAACAGCAACTGATTGTCCACTTTTACAATCTAGGTATAAGATCTGTTTGACTGTATTCTTCTCTGCTTCTAGATGATGACGAGGGATTCTTAACCAAACCGTACTGTCATAAACTTAACGTTTTATTTGGCCACCTGAGGCCTTTAGAGTTGAAATTCATCCTTTTATTTTTGTTAGTTTTTGTCACTTTCTGAGCATCCTAAAAGAAAGAAAACACTCTCTTTCAGGAACCTTTTAACAAGGCTATGCTTCTTTTTTCCCTTCTTTTTTAAATACCTTATCTTATCTTAATTTATCTTATTGAAATGTGTTTTAAACATGAGTAAAAAAAATAGTAATTTAGACTTACCAAAGTCAGGGAAGCTGATCTGTAATGGATCAAGAGGTTAAAGGTCACAGCACCGGTCTTGTTTTTCATCAGTTCCTCAATTACCCGATTGACCGGTGGATTCGGTCCAGCCTTCTGCTGTTCACAGAGAGAGGAGACAGCGTTTGGCTTACAGGACCCAGAATCCACAGTCATCTGTGTTGTTTTGTTTTGGTCTGAAAAGTACATTGCTTACCTTATTTAAAGAAATGCCAGGAAATGTCTTTTTTCTTTTTGCCTTTAAGAAAAGAGGAAATGTGATAGAAACAGACTTGTGACACCGCCAAAAAATAGCCCTTTTCTCCCATTGAATTAACTCATTTAGGATTTGTAAGTGGGCATAGATGTTTTTCTCATACAAATGTATTTGGTGATCAGATCGATTTTCCTGCTCATCAACGTCTCAGTGATGCCACAGTTCCACCTTTCACTTCTGCTTATTTTGAGGAAACGAAAATTCTGAATTGAAATGTGAATGTTTAACTTGTGGGCTAAAGATGCTTTACTTTAAGCTCATAGCACTGGAATTGGACAGCTTCAGTGAGTGTGATATTTATGGTAAAGAGTGAAGGGTTTGGTCATAGACACTCTTGCTTCAAAGAGAGAGTTGCTGATTTTATTGTTATAAGATTTCAGATCAGAGTTCCGTAAAGATTGTGCACGGCAAAAGGGATCATATTATGAGACAGGAAAAAACGGTCTATCCTCTGGAGGGGCTCTCAGTCATAACATTTGCTGCTAGCCTTGTTATTATTTTCTTGTGCATTCTTTGATTATATTCATATCATGTTGACTTGGTGCTCTCAGATGCCGTGCTCTGTGCAGCCCTTTAGTCTCCTTCCAGCAACAATGAAATGCACTGTGAGGTATTCATTACTTCTCTCAGGTTACCATAGACACATATCTAAGTTACAAAGACCAACTTTATTCCCTCAACTAAATTAGCAGTGTTTGGAAGCCCAGCGGGGTCACAGTGATCTTCAGCTTTTTCTTTCTTCCACTCTCATTAATTGTACAACACAATCTTTTCAGGGCGGCACCGTGGTGTGGTGGTAGTTATGTCACCTCACAGCAAGAGGGTTGTGGGTTCGAGTCCCTGGGTGGAACCAGGACCTTTCTGTGTGGAGTTTGCATGTTTTCCCTGTGTCTGCGTTGGTTCTCTCCCACTGTCCAAAAACCTGCATGTTAGGTGGACTGGATATTCCAAATTGCCCTCAGGAGTGAGTGTGTGTGGTTGTGTGTCTCTGTGTGACCCTGCGATGGACTGTCCAGGGTGTACCCTGCCTCTCACCCATTGACCACTGGGAGAGGCTCCAGTCCGCCCTCGACCCCACTAGGAAATAAGCTGTTACAATAATGGATGGATCTTTTTACTTAGAACATATTTATCTATTAACTATATATACTGCTTAATTAGGTGAATGTAGAATATATTTCACGTAATTGTTACTGAAGAAAGTAAGTACTTTTTAATTCCAGAGTATTTGAAAGTTAATACTATTCATGCAAGGTTATACAACGTGCTTCCCAAGAATTTAATGTTTCCTGGACACAAAGGAAATGGCTGTTTACCTAACTTCTGGTATCCTGTGCTTGATATGAATACTCAGCACTCTCCTTTCTGGTTTTCCTCACTAGAGAGGCTTCCTCTTTCCACTTGTTATTCAGCTCTTTTCCTCATACCGTAGTGTCACAGTCATCTTGGTATATGAAAGGGAGTTTAGGAGCCAGTGAGTACAGCCTGGACTCAGGGGGAGTTGGAATAAACTGTTTGAAATGGTGTGGGCAGTGTCGGGGGTCGGAGGGGGAGTGGACGGTGAAGTGCATGAGTGTAGAGGAGGCAGCCTGAGTCTGAGCTGAGGAGGACTGACCCCAAGCCCCCCCTTTTTTCTTCCAGTTCAAAACGGAGGAAGGCTCTCAGGAAACAGATAAGGAAACTCTGCCATTGAAGTTTCACATGGACTCGAGCAAAAGTAGGGCCATTTTCCCAGATGCTGATGAGGGGCAGGAATAAGATAATCATTGTTTGGTAACACTGATATTCTAGGCAACAGTACAAGGTGAAACTAAAAGTGTTGTTTGTTTTTTTTACTTGTTTTTCTTCTAACTATTTTGATCTGTTGTCCACATCATTTTATTATAAATGGGAAAACTGTCCCAGATTTCACTTTTTCAAGCAGACGTTTCCGTTTCCGATCGATGACCACCGCGTCTCAGCCAGTGAACAGACTCCAAATTCTTAGAATATTCCATGAACTCTAAATGACAGAGATGTCCAATAATTACGGACGGCGAGTGTGTCTGTGTTGTGATCCAACGTCGAGATAATGAATGAACATAAACTTAGAGAAATCAACTTCTCCTTATATGGTTAGGAGAATGAGTGAGTCAGAACTCCACAGGAGCAGGTCCGTCCACGGGGTCATTGCGGCCATCAGATTTCCCCAAATTTCCCCAGAAGCCGTCCGGTTTCGGTTTTACCCTTTCGCTTTCTCCACTGATGATCTCACTCGGGCACACACGCGTGTTGCTTGGCTCGTATGAGGAAAGCGGCTCTTTTAGGGAGTCGAAGAGGGAAGTCGCCCATTTTGCGCGCTTATCGGTGGGAGCTGCCCTCTGTCCAGCCGCAGTCCGCTTATTTCAGCCTCCACGCACCGAGTCAACCCACGGACAGTGACAAGCGGAGATGGCTTCTTCTTTTTATGCCTTTTTGGTGCTTTTCCTCTGGAATTTTCTGTCTGATTCTCAGGCGTTCGATTGTAATAGTAAGTTTACTTTTACGCATGGTTTTGTGTGCTCTGAAAAACTCTTGAGTTTGGGTGGAGACGAAAATTGGAGGAAGGAAAACATTCTGAGAGTCTCCATTGTCTAGGATTACAGAGTGTGTGTACACAATGGTGTAACGTACTTACAATATGATATACTTATAAACAATATTCTTACACAAAATCTTGATGATTACTTTGTTTCCCACAGAACATGTGTGTGAAGACAATCCCGAATTCACTCCATCCACACTGGTGGTGAAGTACGGAGACCCAGCCTTCGCCACATGTGAAGCCTGTAAGAAAGGATGCCGATCTGATGTTTTTGACATAGAAAAATCTGAGGGGATCGTTTTGAAGGACGGTGAGACCAAACTGACATGGAATGTTACCCACATTACACAGTGGGACAAGGATCCTTATTGCTTTAATAATTTAAATGGCACATTTTGTTGCACCACCCTGGATGTTACTGTCTACCGTAAGTACATTTGTTCTAAATCTCAGCAGTTGTTAGAGAACATTTTCTGTTATTATGAGAATTCCATACCTTCATTGTTCAGGCACACAGCTGTCTGTTGTTGACAGACTCTTGCTTAGTTCGGGCCTCTTTTCTTACACCTTTGCTTCTCTCATTTCACAGAGCCTCCACAAGAAGTGTCCATCGGCTTTGTAAGTCACACAGGGCCCCTGATGGAGGGCGGCCGTTACACTCTGCAGTGTGCTGTGCAGAACGTCGCTCCGATTAAGAACCTCGTAGTGACCTTCTACAAAGGACAGATGACCCTGGACCCGCAGCAGTTCCTAACAGATCATAGGACACCAGTGAATAAGAGCTTCTTTCTGAGCCTCACTGCCAAGGAAGAGTTTAACGGAGAGGAGTTCTGGTGTGAGGCCACACTGGAGCTGGGACCCGGCGGACCAAAGCCCCCTCCAGTGGTGAAGTCACAAAGACTCACGGCTACAGTTCACTGTGAGTCTGACAATAAACAAATCTGTTTTTGGTTCTTCCTCTCAAAACTCTGCAGTCACACACACAGCTGTGGTACTACACAATAACAACACACTCATTCTTAATCAGATCATTTTAACCAACGATAATTAGAGCTTTTTGACCAGGACCTGAACCACCACTGAGCATACTTTTAGTTTTTGCTTACAGGATTTATTTAGTGTCTTCCTCCCCACTACAACAGATGGACCAAAGCTGGACACATCTGCAAACCAAACCTCAGTGACCGTCAACGAGGGAGAAACTTTACAACTGAACTGCTCAGCTGTGGGAAACCCTGAGCCCTCATACACCTGGATTCTCCCCTTCAGTAACAACATCAGCCATGAGAGTGTTTACATGGTTAAATCTGTGAGCTCTGAGCATGAGGGGAATTACATCTGCAGTGTCAGCAACATCGTGAGAGAAGAGAAGATTACCTTTAATGTCAAAGGTGAGTTTAGTAAGGTTTGATTTTGAGATCTGATTGTTTTTAGATATCAACTATTTTTGTGCTTTAAACATGTTTCTATCTTCTTCTCCTCTGCAGTGAACTCCCATAAAATCAATGTATTAATTGCATGTTTGGTTAGCCTGGCAGTTGCCATCCTCATCATCATCACCTTCTGTGTGGTTTATCAACGCTTAAAAAACAAACGAACGGGAAACTACAACCTCAAAGACGTTTTCCGTTTTCGCAGCCGACATTTTTTAGTGCCCGCTGAGTAAATTTGCCTGGATGGGAATGGACAGTATGAAGCTGGGGCTCTGACTTAGGCTTCAGAAGACTGCAAATAATACTGTATTTTCAGTCTGAGCCTGGCTGGTCATTTTCCACCATCTCTTCAGCAACGCTAATCAGAGAATGAATATTTCTAAAAGCTTGGTTCCAGTGTGCAACGCTGAAGTGCTGAATGGAGCCCGTCGTGTCCCCGGATGTGATCCGAGTCCCCGCCGTCCAAATGTCAACATTGTTCTACAAGCTCTCACTTTATGCTTCAGCCCTGTTAGCTTATTTATTTTTGCGTCATAATGTTTTGAGAGCAGTATGAGTCCTTGTCAAACACTGAAGTCTAAAAACGTGGGGAATAATCCCGTGGTAACTGCTGCTCACTGTAGCTCTTTATTTAGGAAATGTTTGCAGGCACCGGCAGCACAACGATGCTTGCAATATTTCCCGCTCACAGAAACAGCCTAAAAACACAATCTGACTGACCTGATATCAGTGGGTAGAAAACTACACTACGAATTTGACATTTCCCACGGCAATAAATGGTTCACATAGAAATCTAGCTGTGTTCTTTTTTTCAGATTTTGTTAAAAGGTCCAAATAAAGATTTCATCGTAAAAAATGTAAAAAATTAAATTAAATTAAAAAGTATCACATTTTAAAGTGTCAATGTAAAGTGGAAAGTAAAGTGTTCTGTCACTTTGTCTGGAATTTCAGTATTTTAATATTGGCTGAGATTATAATAAATGGATGGCCTGCTGAAATCTTCTGTTTGTATATCTTAACTTTTATGGGAATATTACACACTGTGCAATGCACTTGAAAAAATGATGGAATAAGCTTAAATATTTTTTCTGGTAAACTTGTGTTTTTCATGTTGTTTAACTGGATGTGAAGCTTTACACTGTGACCATTTAAACTGTCAATAATTGTATTTGCTATTTGCCCAGAGACTAACTAATATCAGTAAAAAAAATTAAATGAATTATCGTATGCAGTTGTTTTTTCTTTTTTCTTTAAAATGCTGCACCTTGTGCACCAATAAAATTAGTGAAATATTTTTTTAAATATTTATCAAAATAATGACAATATTAAATCCACTTAGGAAGAGGAAATTAGTTATGTTCTAGAATGACGTTTTGCTGTTTAAGTGGATGTAATGTTTCTGGCATGCGCTTTTATCGCAAGCATCTTAGAAAGCAAAACTTACTGCCGTGACCCGGATTCGAACCGGGGTTGCTGCGGCCACAACGCAGAGTACTAACCACTATACGATCACGGCTGGCCAACAACCACATGAGTCCTCAGTACGTTTTCACAGCCCTGAACACAATATGAATCACGAGAAACACGCGTTTTAACACTTACACATTACAGCTTAAAGGAAAATATTCAATTATATAATTTGAAATATCAATAAATATAAAAAATGTTGGGAAGCATTGTTACAGCATCTGAATTCCGTTTGACTGTCGGTCATGATAGCGTGTTTTTTTTAGCTTCTTAGTTTTTATTTTCTTTAGTTGCTCCAACTTCTCTTGCAGCCACTGTGCTGGCGTAATTGTTGCTATTTAGTTGGACGCAGAGCATGGCCACAGCTCTGCCTCAGACCCCGCGCTCGTTAATGACGCAATAAACCGACCACATGTCGCATAGTGATGTCGTAGAAGAGGATTCCCGAGCATCTTATGTTACTAAGTGGATTAAAATTACTTCTTTGCTCACTCCACAGAGGCCGTGTTGGTGTAGCGTCTCGTTGCAGTTGAAAAGTCAATATTTTACAGTGATAAGTTAGAGACAATGAGCAGCGGAAGGGGCATCGACTACAGCGCCTGGGACCACATTTACGTGTCCGACGACGAAGACGTTACCAATCCCTACGTCGACACTCAGAGCTTGTTCAGAATGAGACACCGGGTCAGCAGTGAGACTTGTGCTAGTCGTGACGTTTGGAGTCCCTTGCTTGGTTAGTTTAATCAGTAGAAATGTCATTTTCGTACAAAGTCAACCCACAACAGTCGCTGCAGATGGAGTCAGTCGGACAGGTGTTATGGTGAAACCTGTCAACCCTCTGGTTGCGTTAGTCCCAAAGGGTCGAAATACACTGGAGACACGGTCAACGACTGAACAACAGAAATCCGAATCAATTATCAGATATCAACAAGATTTAATATTAGCCAAAGTTACTCCGTTCGTTTGTACTTGGTTTTTAAATTACTATGTAAACGCATATAGTGACAAGTGATGTCTGTGATCTGTCTGATCCAAGTTTTGGTACCTCTGAAAAGTCACTAGAGGCAATGACCGATGAGCCACTTTAAAGATAAATAACTAAGATAAATCTTTTGTAAAAAAAATAAATAAAAATAAAACTTAACTTGCAGAATGTATAATAAACTCCAGCCAAAAACATTGGAATAGCATTAGTTTAGAAAATCATTCCTAAAATGTCCATGTAATTATAGAAGCAAATACAAATAAAAAATTTGAAAGATATATATTTTATAAATTACATTACCACTGTAAAGCACATTAATGATATGATATAGAACATGTCGCTCACAGTTTTGACGGTCTAGGTCACACAACATGCGGTTGTCATTGTTTTCGTTCAGTTTGTTTTCCAGGCCTTTTTACTTATCAACCTTAATTTTTTACCCATTAATTAATGGGGGAAAATTATATTATGAAATCATATTATTAGGATTTAATAATTATTCACAGTTGTATTGTTGTTTTTTCCACTAAAAAGTACCACTCACACCGAGGTTTGAATTGCGTGTCATACTTGCCGCATAAGTGAGGGTTTTTACCATTTTTATGGTGGTCATGAGTGTTTAACAAATGTACTAGATTTCAGCATTCAAAATTAAACTCACTTTATCAAGAGCCAATGAAAAGAAATAAAAAAAAAGCTTCTTGTCAATATTACTTAAGTCAGAGCCCTGTAATAAAGAGATAAATCAAATGAATATAGTGTGTACGTGCATACCCAGTGTTAACCCCAATGTGCTGGATCTGAGTAATGAGCTTAACTAAACGTCGCCTCGGTGTCACAGGACTTAAAAGGTGAAAAGTCAGAGCGTTTTCTGTGCTTCCCTTGTCTGTTTCCTTTCTTGCGTATGAAATCTGTGGATGTGTGAATCATGCCTTGGTGTTGGGGACAATCCAACTTCCCCAAATTATTGAAATGACATAGCATGATACATCAGGGATTCACAAGATTTATGATAGTTTGTTTTATTCTGGGTGAACAAATCTGGTTACTCATGGGTTCATTGTGTCTAATTGTGTCCTGTGGAACCCATGATCATTTCTGTCTTTCTCCAACACCAAGCATTGATATAACAGCCTGCATTTAGTCACTTTTCTGGCCCTTTTTGTCATTTCCCTCTTTCACATACTTGCCTAAGAGTGTGTCTGTACTTTAAAGTGATTGCTACATCTACACATTTGATTCGACCTCATGACCTTATTAGACCTAGTAGCAGTTCCTTTTACACCCAACCGCTTTGCCTTGAATCAGTCTTTTTTTTTCAATCTCTTTTTTCCGATTCACGCTGTCATGGCACTTCAGGCCCGGCTGGAGAAAATGGCTGACTTTCAGCAGAGAGGGGAGGATCTGGAACATAACCTCACGCAATGCCAGGGACTGCTAAAAGCTGCCCAACAACGACTTCAAGACCTGGAGGGGAGGATGAAGAACGGAGAGGTGGATGAGGAGAAGGAGGCTGAGCTGAAGAAAGTCCAGGCTGAGCTGAAGAAACTGAAAAAGGATGAAAAGTCCTTTGAGAAACTCATAGAGGAGCACAGGCGAGAAGAAAAGAAACTACCCTGGAACGTAGACACTCTCAGCAAAGAGGGTTTCAGCAAGGTACGGAAAAGGTATCGAGATTTGATGTGACTCGCCAGCACGCCCATTTACCGCTTCGTTTTGTTTTACAGAGTGTTTTCAACAGTCAGCCCATAGGAACGAAGGAAACACAGGAAAAAGAGGTGGAGAAGCACAAATCCTTTGTGGAGAAGTATTCAAAGGAAATCAAACACTTTGGTATGACCCAGTCTGGTTGTGATGGAAACCATGCTTCCACATAGCCTCTCTTTCCTATTCTCACAAACACGCCCCAGAACATTTCTGTTTTTTGGGTTTTCCAGCTCACTGAATTTCATTTCCTCATTTTGAGTCAGCTCTTGGGTGGAATGGCTCATATTCTGAGAAATGGTCTTGTTTTAGAAAAAAAAACCTTGGCTGCTGATCTGGTGGCTCAATGGAATGTTGAAGAAAGCTATTTGATAAGAAAACTTCACTAGTTCAGCCCATTTTCATTCCTGTCCACTGGGGGTGTGAGCACATAACATGTCTACATTGATGTCTCTCCACATGGCCATTGACTCTTTTTGCTCCAGTGTTCTTTTTCTTCCACACCGAAGGCTTTTTCCTTGTACACGTACTGTGCAGGCTCGATCTATACACACATTAACTTTGACACTGGAAGCTTTAAGGGCTTATAAAGCTGTTGAAGTCTTACTCGTTCTCCATCGAGCAGAACATGTGTTAGCCTCACAGTTTACATGTTCTCTTCTTTTTTTTCCCCTCCAACAAAACAAGAGGGGTTAAAACCCCGATTTGTGTTTTTTACCAGGCATGTTACGGCGCTGGGACGACTGTCAGAAGTATTTATCAGACAACCCACATCTGGTGTGCGAAGAGACCGCCAACTGCCTCGTTGTCATCTGCATCGACTTTGAGATTGACGAGGCGAGTGCCGCCGGATTCATATTTACGCTTAAAAGCACGACGGAGAAAAGTTATCTCATCGTGACGAAGCCCGCTAAAATCTGAATGTCATCGCAGAAACACGCCCTCATGGAGCAGGTGGCCCATCAGGCCATCGTCATGCAGTTCATCTTGGATTTGGCTCGAACCCTACGTGTCGACCCAAGGGGCTGTTTCAGGCAATTCTTCTCGAAGATTAAGGTTCGGGGTTATTGATACGTGGTCTGACTTGTAGGAACGTTGTGGTTTTTTTGGGAGGATGTGGTCAAATGGGCTGTTTTCGTCCCCGCTTTAGACTGCGGATAAGCCGTACCTGGATGCGTTTGACCGTGAACTGGAGCTGCTGAAAGAACGGGTCCGCAGATGTGCACAGATGCGGATGGAGGGTGCCATGAAGGAGCTGGAGGACGAGGAGAGGCAGAAGAGACTGGGCCCGGGCGGTTTAGACCCAGTAGAGGTCTATGAATCACTACCAAGGGTAAAGGAGAGAAAAAACATGGACACCCATATTCTTTAAAAGAAAGTTATTTTTTTACTGATGTTTTGTTTGTAAAAAAATACTTGTATGACATGTATTACACTTTTTAATGCTTTATGTTGAAATGGTCAGTGATAAGACAAAAATCAGGTAGGACAGTGTAACTGAGGACGACTCTCAGATTTGTGGATAATGGCTTCCTGAAAGTTACTTGAGTGGAGTTACAGCACGGTCCTAGCAAGGAATTAAAGAGATTATTTCACAACTAGAAGATATTATATCCATTTGTTTAACGCATATTATCAGTAACACTTTTAAAGCATTATTAATAAGGAAACACTTAAAAATGAATGTTGGGTTCCTGTCCAACCTCCAGCTCTCTGCCTTGTTGGCCTTGTGGTTTATTCTCGCCACAGTCTGCTCCGAGACCATGAACTCACTTAAATAGAGACGTCACCCAGAGATTGATGTGGTTTTACAGTCATAGTTTCTGATGTTTTGCATCTTCCGCTATATAAATATATGAATTATTTGCATTATGTGCACTGATTGCATTTGAGTAAAGCCATAGCTCGGATGTTTTTATTTAATCCAGCTAAAAATATGAGTGTCAACTCATTTTCCTACCAAAAGGCCTCCATCATTCGGTCTATCCCTTTATCTTCTTCACATATTGTATTTTACTTTTTTTTTCTTTGCAGAAGTATTAGCTAGACTGGAGGATGGGCTCATAATTCTCCAGGCTGGATCCTTTCTTTCTCTTCTAACAGTCTCAGATAAACCAAAAGATTTGGATAGGTGTTGAAAAGGCTCCAAAAATAAACTAACTTCAACAACCTGGTAGCTGTTGTGACTAGTTTCTTTTTCAGATAACAGTTCACAGTAGAATTTGAAGCATTCACTGATAGGAAGTGTGTTGCTTTTTTGGGTGATGAGAAACATGTGGTTGCACAAGAGGCTGTGCCAGTAACAGTTATCTATCTGTGCCAGATAAATGGCAGCATCCACTAAGTCTGCGCATATGGTGAGAAAGAAAGAATGAATAAAACATTCAGCCTCTGTAATTTACTCAGTGCAAGTCGTTGTGTGGCAGTGAAATTTAGATCCAATTCAGTTTTTTTGTAGCAGCAGGAGAAATTCTGCCCTCACACTAACTAATATCCAGACTGGGCACACCAGCATGGTGCCCTCAGCCCTGTAGGTCTGTAGCGTCTTGCCATTCCTCTGATGGCTTGTCTCTTGTAGGAATTACAGAGGAGCTTCGACGAGAAGAACGTTCAGCTGCTACATGAAGCCATGAACAAGCTGGACCCACAGGTCAGTGAGTATCTCACCCCGAAAGAGCAGATTTTGACAGTTAAAAGCGAACCTCAGCATTGACGTCTGCCCTTCTCTCTGTAGGAAGGAAAATACCATCTGAGGAGATGTATTGACTCTGGACTGTGGGTGCCTGAGGGTGATTATAAAGAGGACGAGGAAGACGATTAGAAGTAATCAGTTACGTTATCCGAAATGACATCATTAAGCAATACTGTGGTCTGTTTATGGATTTTTTAGCTTATATGATTGTGGATATTTCTTATGTTTGACATTTCCAACAGTCATTCACCACTTCTGAACAGAGGATTCTGTTGTTGAGCTATCGGTTTGTTTTAACCCTGTCAGACCATCATCTTCAGAAAAATCTACATGCGTGACATGTATTTTCATTCTATCTTTAGATGTTTGATAGCACGTGGGCTGAAAAAGAGACTCCAACAAAGTGAAGCATTCTGTCAGACCTCAGCCAGTATTAATAGAGACCGCTTGCATGCATACGCCTGTTTTAAGGATCTTTATTCAAGCCAACAACTCTCATGTTTCATTTTTACTAGCCCCTTTCTGGCTTTGAAATGAAGGTGTTAAATCACTCTTAGATTTTAGCTTCAGAAGTAACTCTGGGTGTGTTTTGATATCAAAGCTATAAATATTTCCTATTTCTCTGCAAACCTCGGTGATGGCAGCTTGTTAGATCTGGTGAGTGATTTCGATGTTTTTTTCCTCTAAAAGCTCTGGTAACAAGCACAGGTAGCAAGTGGTTGGTTTACCGCTCTGATTAATAAAACTCAGATGCGTGGAGTCACACAGAGGTGACTTGTTTAAAAGACGTGGTCTCTGTTCAGCTCTTTCTGTTGTCGAGCTGAGATAAATGGTGCCACCTTGAGTCTGTTTGCAGATGAATGGCTCTGACAGCCTGAAGCCTCTTAAGAGAACAATTCAATTTGTGCAGCCAGCTATCGTGTTTTTTTGGTCATAGGCTAGCTTTAGAGACATAGTTTGTTTTATTAATATTCATTGTCAGGCAAAATATTTTCTTTACACTTTTGCTGTAGTTCATATGTAGTTTTTAAATGTTTGGCATCCTGTGCTGTGGATCCAAACACTGTTAATGTCCAGTGGACAAAATTACATCAGTGTAGTGTTATATAATATTGTGTATATATTTTTGTAGATGGAAAATTATCTTTGTGAATTCATTTTTATCCCAAAGTAGGATCCTTGATATGTTAGAGACCTTGATGTGATCATTTTCAAAAGACAATAAAATGTGACTCCCTATTTTCTTCCTTCTATTTTGCATTAAATGTGCTTTTTACATGATTAGCAAAATATTGGATTCGCTTTTTTACCAGAGCACATGACACATTGAAGATCATTTAGAAAGAGTCCGTTCACACAACAGAAGATGTGTCTATGTCCCACACACCAGGAACCTGGACTTTATTTCAACACATAGTCGACATTTTACAGATTCGAAATTTCCCTCCGTTCAGCAGAATTGTATGTCCAGTCAGCACTTTTGCATATTTTCAGAAAACCAGAGACGGTGTTGGACAAATGAGAAATCTCTCAGTAGAATTTGATGTTCACTTTAACCGACAATTTTTCAAGATATTCATGATGCGCACAATTAAAAAACATACTGACGGACAATCTAGCTCTGACAAAATGTACATTTTATCCAGTATTTGTTTTTGTTATTAAATTAGCTGTCCGTTTTATTCTGTTCTCATACCTCTGTTTTTATGCTGCCTCCTGTTTTGTTCCTCCTTGTATCACTCCTCTTCACTCATATAATTAATTGTTGGCCTGCTCTCTCTCTCTTTATCTCCATCTCTCTCTCCTCTTTTCCTCATGATTAATCGTTGGGATGGTTTAGTGGCCTGTGATTTAGTTTTTTTTTTTTCTATTTATCTTTTTGGATGCAAAGCTTCTTTGTGCTTTCACTTTAAACAGGAAACAATCAGCGCAGGTCAGGGGTGTGAATCAAATCTAGATAATGCTTTCAAGAGCTATTTGAGAATAACAGATGACCTCAGTGCCACGTGAAGAACACTTTGTGTGTGTGAATCACACCACCTCTTGGAGTGAAAAGGCTGCACAGATTTAGTTGGTCGTCTGAATGTATAAAATGTGGTTATGTGGGTCTAATTTAAGGGTGTTTTCTGTGTTGATATCATCGTTTTAGTTTGGATTATTCTCAGGATTTCTTAAAAGCTGAAATGTCAACGATTTTCTGACTCCAGCATTCCATCTGTAAGGATTTGCTGTCTTTTCTTTCGCTGAACAACAACAACAACAGTCCCAGATGACTTACAATGAAAAGACAAGGAAAAGGTATCCTCTGTTTGGATTTGAAGTGGACGATGGGCTCGATTGCCATGCCTACTACAAATGCAACAATATACATTGTCCATTATTAACCATAGCTTAACAACAAAAAACAACCTGGGCCATACACTGAATGAAGATCTGTTCCAAATTGGTGAATGAAAGAGAAAATACAGCATTACAGCATTAGTTTGGCTTCAAGTGGGTAAATGCCCTTGAATGGCTGTAAAAAGGACGTAGCAAATAAGGAGGAAACAAACAAAAAAAAACATAGAGGAACAGCTAAGAGACGTTCATGCTTATTGTGATTTTGTCAGCGTGAGTGGTGTGCATCAATAAAAATACGCTCAGTGTGTGGGTGTGTGTGTTGTGGAGAGCAATGACGCCTGACTATAGAAACAGGATGGGTGTATGGCCGCTAATAAAACGGGATAAAGGCACTGCCAGATAAAAAAAAAGATTGAAAAAAAGAAACAGAGAGAGAGAGAGAGAGAGAGAGAGAGAGGAGGAGCGGAGACGTTTGTATGGGATTAATGGACACACTGTGCGTGTGAAAGGAGGAGGGAGGGAGGAGAGATGGGCTTCTCCATGGAGGCTGTGGTGGAGTTGGTGGGAGGGGGTGGCTGGGGGAGACCACTGTGGCAGGGGAGAGGGAGAGGAGAGACAGGGAGGGAGGGAAGCTGGTGAAGCCGCGGATATCCATGAGAACGGCAAGTGTTTTTTTTTCCCCCCTCGCCGTGGTGACACACTGCAATGTCTGCAGACAGACAGACAGACAGAGAGAGCCGGGAAGACAGAGGGGGGAGAAGACGAGTGAGAGCAGGACGAGGCTCAGCCCCAGCGCTCCGCTGATCTTCAGGCGACCAAGGTGAGTGTGTTTTCATTCTTGCATCTTGCAGCCTCCGCGAGAGTGTGCGTGGACGTGCGTGTACGCGTGCATGTGCGTGGCGGTCTGACACACACCTCTCTCAGTCTGTGCAGACGGGCATGACAGCAGGGGCAGTCTCCTCACGCGCGTTTTCACATTGGGGATGTTTTGTAACAGAACAGCAGGTTGGTGCTTGGGCTCCTTGTTGATGCATTGGCGCCTGGTCGTACAGGCTGCTTGATCTGGAGTGAAGGCTGTGCTGCTGGTGGCAGTCGCGGTGTGTGTGTGTCTATGTTCAATTTGCCCGGTGACTGTGCGTATATATGTCACTGTGTCACTATGTGTTGATTCCTCTGCACAAATCGGCTTTCACTCCGCGGATGCGTGCTGAGCACGCCGTGGAAGTCCTCTCACCGAGAGGGTGTGTTCTCCATGACCCTGGTAGAAGTCGTTTTCCACTTCTCTCCGTGGATCAGCTTATTCGGATACATTCTGATATGCTGAATCTGTCCCATCCAATGGAAGTAGGTCAACTCGGACTGCTCAGAGTAATTATATAACACAGGAGAACATTGGTGTTGCAGCATCTGCTCAGAATTAGCCAAACTGTAGCTATTGCTCCTTCAAGGCCACAACAGTCCAAAATATTTTGTCAGGGCTGCCCTCTTTCTGACTAATTTATCAGTTGGCCCATCATTCCTCCGGAATCTAGTCCAGAAATGGCAATATTCATTCATATTTAATTGGATGCATTTTCTCGAGCACGAGGTAGGCGGAATGTGAAAATAAATTTCCCGTATGCAAAAGGTGAGCCCTGAAGATGTGTGTATATGGGTTTTCCAGCTATTTTGTGTGTCATTACTTACTGTTTAGAAAACAGTGAACAGTAAAACTAACTGATGACTCTTGAATGCCTGCTCACTCTGACTCTTAATTTCTGTTTCCATTCAGGGACATATACTCCAGGGGAGATATTCTGCAAAGCCAAGCCAGGATTTTTTTACAGTTAGACTTCCCAGATGAGGCAGCCACATCCAAAAGGACTTGCCAAACAGACTGTGGATCCAAGTGACAAATCGGTTTGTGAAAAACCTAAACGAGACAAGAGCAAGCCAGTGCCGCATCTTCAATAAATGCCCGTGGATTCTCTACTTTTGGACAACTGGATTTCGGTGGGAAACCCTTCCCAGTGGTAGACACCATGCGAGCAGTTCTCCAGTTTGGATGAATATTTCAGAGAACTTCCTGTGAGGTTTTTCCTCTTGTGGCGTCATTATGAACTCTGACTGGGATCGGGTCCATCAGGATGTGAGAAAACCACGCAGGGTGATGGTAATTTTCTGATTTTTTAAATGGTTTTTCCCACCATATTTTGGAAAGACGGAGCAAAACAACCTGCCTAACCTCTAACTGAACCTGCACTGAGGGGGCTCATGAATGCCCCCTGACTGTTTGGCGGCAGGTGGGCACCAGATTCCCGCCCTCTGAAGCTCGAGGCGTGGACACGGGCACGGCGGTTCGGTTGGCTGGCTGAGTCAGCTCCAATGGGGGCCGGTTGTGACCCGGTCTGACCCCGGTTTGAGCTTGCAGTGACCTTTGACCTCTCCGGTCCTGGCTCTCCACCTGCTCTGCTGCCTGGGTTCCGGAACGCTCCGCCCTGGGGCCCAGAACGAGCCAATCAGGATGAAGAAGAGCCGCAGTGTGCTGTCGGTGACTGGAGAAGAGGTGAGACAGGAAATGTGACCAGTGAGGGGAAACTGAACCGTTTCTGAAGTAGCCACAGTGAAGAGAGATGGCAGGGCAGGCAGTAGAACTGGACAGCGTATGTGTGTGTGTGTGTGTGTGTGTGTGTGTGTGTCTGTGAGAGACATACAGTCATGTGACTTTCTTTGTCCCTGCCAGGTTGGTCCACAGAAAGCGTTGCCTTGTTTTGCGTCCCCACAATATATGAAAGACAGGGATAGGTGTGTGTGTTTGTGTGTGTCTGTGAGAGACATACCATCATGTGACTTTCTTTGACCCTGCCATCTAAGTCTGGACAAACTTTTGGAGGTCCAAGTGGAAAATGAGTACACTTCAGCCTGTATGATACCCTCTGTCACAGCACCTCTATGTAAATGATCTCTTGCTAAATGAGTGTTCCACATAAATGAGCTATTTTCTGTTAAAGATGGCATCTTGGCTGAAGGACGTGACACTATGCATTATTCAAACACTCTCTCATTGATTATGTTAAGCAACTGCTCGAACACTTGTGAATGTGTGTGTAGTGCATGTAAGTGGGGATGCGAGCATTTATTCACGTCTGGGTCTGGACAACATCAAACGCGGCATGGAAGCAACAAGGCACTGTTGCCTAGCAACTGCTGCCATTCCCCCAGTGTTTTGTTGCTACGGTACTGCAGTGCAGATCAGCCTCTAAGAGCTCAGCCTGTAGAGGCCCTATCTGAGATACACACACACTGCCAAAATCCCACGTTTACAGCAAGACGTGCGTAAACACACCTACATTATTAGCTCGCAGACTAAATTTCAGCGGAGTCCTCCTCACTTTCAAGAATCTATATGTGACAAATCCACTCAAATACTACCATCTGCCAAAAATGATGACGCCATTGGACAAGTTTCTACAATTTCATTGCTGAAACTTATCTTTTTTTCAATTGATAGTTAGTTTAATCTTTTCACTGTCCTGTTTTCCCCATCAATTCTCTCCCCTGCCTCACAGGGAAATGACACTGATGTACCAGATGCTGGGGAGAAGGCGGAGTCATCTCGCTACAGCCGCTCATACACGTCTGGGGCCACACTGGGGGCTGAGCTGCGCAGGGGGAGGAGCAGGAGACTCTCGCCCAGTCTCCAGGTAACACAGGCACAGCAGCGTGCCGAGGTCTCTTGGAGCATAAAAGAGCCATGGACCCCAGCTGGGAGAGCCCATTTCCATCCAGTCTTTGTCATGCAACTTGTCATTTCAAATATGTACTGACAATGTGTCATGATAGTATGGCGCTGAAAGACAAACCATTGCTTGTGCTTCCGAGTATCACTACGAAGCACAAGCAACATGACAACGGCCACAGACAAAACTCTCTGAAATGTACTTCTTTTTAACTTGTACCTTCATTACAGTCTATACCTAATCAACATAAAGCTTCCTTTTTTAAGAAGGTAGAGAGAGTCTGTCTAGACCTTTTCTGTAGCTGAATAAGAAAATATGATTAGAGACAATATTCATCTAAAAAATCTTCCTCTAATAAGCAGATAGTTCATGCATGCTTTTAAAAGGTTTTGCCTGTTGGGAAGACTTGATTCCCAGTAAGGAGACGTAAAACAGCTTTATGAGTCGTATGTGACCTGACAAAGATTAGACTGATGTGACTCAGCAGCTCTTAGAACTCTAAGTCACAAACCAATTAACTCAAATGACTGACTGGCAGCACCCCAGTTATGATGTGATATTCCAGCTAAAAGCAACTCAAGAGGCAGAGCTCGCTTCGTCTTTTGTTTTGTCAACCTGCCACAGATAAGTTTTGCTTTTCTCTTTTAGGCTCATGTTCCTTTAGGACTACTGTTTCCTTTACCGAACAGGATCATAGATGGATTCCAGTGACTGGACTAAATTTGAATGTAATTGGAGTGAACAGCTCTGGGGGTGCACAGCAGCCTGGTGGTTAGCTCTGTCACCTCAAGGTTCCTGTTCTGAATCTCAGCTGGGGCCTTTCTGCATGGAGTTTGGATGTTTCTTCTGTGAATGCCTGGGTTCAATCTTCTCAAGCTTCCTCCCAGTGGCCAAAAGCATGCAGGCGAGATTAACCAGTGATTCTAAATTTACCTCCGTGAGTGAGCTTGCATGGTGGTTTGGCACCGTGATGGACTGGCGTGAGGCAGGATTCAGAATGTACTCTGGATTATATGTATGAAAAATAGATGGATGCATAGGACTGTATCTTTAAAGTGCTTTCATAGTACTTTTATCAAGAACCTGCACTGTACAAAAACAACCATATTGATCTGGATTTGATAGCAGCCACTGTCGCTACAGTCTATACTGCCACAATCTTGTTGCTCTACATAGCCCCGATTATTAGCCTCAAGTTAGTCCATAGAAATGTCTGATTTATCTCTTTGTAGCTTCTCTGAAAGATTGTTTGAAATTTGATAGAAACCTGGCTAATACCTGAATAATTTAAATAGCACTACAGTAATTATGTGGCAGCAAAATAGTTGTATGCACAATTTTTACCAGCTTTTTATATTAAGTTATCTTTCTAAAACGTATATGTAAAATATATGATTGATGTGTATGTAATAGACATATATGTGTTAAGTCCTTTCCTTTGAACTGAGGCTCCAGTTTGTCCTTGGTTGAATCAAGTCAAACATTCAATGAATTCAGTCCTTTTCATGGCTAATTGGATACTTCTGTTCGGTCTTACTAAGTTAGGAGCCTTCTTTGAGCAAAAGCACTTATTCATATATAAGTATATATATGTATATCATCTCTATACATTTATTTAGACAAGTTGTTTATCTCAAAAGTCACATCAGGAGTGCACAGTGGTGTTGTGGTCAAAGTCCCATGTATGCAAGGGTTCTCACTTGGTTCTCCAGCATTCTCCCACTGTCAAAAACATTCCTGCCAGGTTAATTGTTGCCTCTAAATTTACCCTACGTGTAGGTGTGGGTTCAATGGTTACAGCTACACCAAATCAGAGCTAAAGAATACTGGACATTTGGCAGGGATTTCTCAGGTAGTCTCAGTTTGTTTTGCGTGGTTCAAAGGACATGAAATGTACAAACTGTAGGGGTTTACGGCCCCCGTCCCTTTTTGGGTTCCACACTACAGCATACTTGCTTTTGCACAGTCCAACCGCATCCTCTTCTGATTTAATTTTCTGCAGGCTGCTGTTGTGTTGCCTTCCACAAAATGATGTTGCTTATCTTATCTAACCAGTGAATCTCAAAGATTCTTCTCAAGCAGATTTGGATGAATGTCTTCTTTGTTTGAGACGGTCTTCGTCATCTTCCATGTCATGTAACCATAAAGCAGCACTGGCTTCACTCTCGAGTTAAAGATTGGATTTTAATTCAATTTGATAGCACTCTATAGCTCCAGATGTTCTTGGGCTGCACAAAGGCCAGATCCTAATGTCTGCATGAGAGCAAAGATCACATATACCCATACAGATTTAAAGACATTACACTGCTGTGGTGCTTCTTACTGGGAGGGTATTCAGAGTAGATTGGACTGGACAAAGAGTTTGATTTCAAATGCATATCTGGGAACAATTACATCAAACTAGATAGTATATGACATTGTGTGGAGTTTTGAAGCAGTTGCCACCTTAGTCTTGAATCGTGAGGCGTGTCTCTGGGTGTGTAGCTACAATGCTCAGCTTCAAAGTTGAGATGGGTCCACTCATCGTTTTCCACAAAGTCTCTCTTTTGTTTCGTCAGGTGCCCTGCTGGCTCCGCCCTCGAGACCGCACCCGCTCACCGGAGGTCCTCAGCGACATGTCGCGTCCCACCACGCTCCCCCTCCGCATCCCCCCTCGCATCTCCATCACACAAGCAGACACTGACAGGTTCACATCTGTTTTTTTGTTTGTTTTTTACGACCACTGATTTAATCCTGCATAGAGCTGAACAAAATACTTACTTTCTGTCTCCTCTGATCATCGATACTGTGTTCCAGTTATGAAGCGGAGAATGGTCTGTCCCCGGCTCACACCCCTCTGGGCTCGCAGAGTCCAAGCCTCACCTTGAACACCTCATTCCCTCAGGGCCAGAGAAGAGAGTCCTTCCTGTACCGCTCTGACTCAGACTACGACATGTCACCCAAGGCCGTGTCTCGTAACTCTTCCCTTGCAAGTGAAGGGTGAGAGAAACAAATGTACCTATTGATTTCCATTCTCGAGTCTTTCCGTAAGTTCTCACTGTCTCTTTTCCAACCTTCCCGACTCTCCTTCCTCTCAGGCACACGGCCGAAGACTTCATCGTCACGCCTTTTGCTCAAGTAAGTGAGACCAAGAGCAACATTTTTCTCGGTGAACTGTCGTGAAAACTGTGTTTCAAGCGGCTTCAGACGTCTAAGTCGTCAACTTTTTTTCTATAAAACGATAGTTAAGGAAATGGACTTTTTAAAACAACAATCATGTATGGAAAATGATTCAAAGCATTAGATTACACATTTGCCACATTTGGTTGGAGTTGTTCTGGATACACATAATTGTGCTCTGTGTGGTGATTCAGGTTCTGGCCAGTCTGCGATCAGTTCGGAGCAACTTCACCATCCTTGCCAACGTCTCCACTCCAACTGTCAAGTCAGTAACACAGAATTTCCTCAATTATTCCACTTTTACACCTATTTGATATTTGAATTAATTTATAAAACTATAATCAAATCTGTACCTACCACTATTTATCATTTTAAGCTCAGCACATCTGCACATATTTTATATGTGCCTTTCCTCTAATGATCGTATGGAACATGATCATCTACAACATCTAAGACTTTGTCACGAACCGTGAAAGATGTAATATTTGCTATGTCCACCCTAAAAAGCCCAGGCATTTTTTAAACTTTGTCTTTAGTTTGGCTTAAGACCCATAGAATTAAATTCAGTAAAACGTTTTTCCATCTAAATGCTCTTGACAGACATACAAATTGAAAAAGTTAATCAACAACTGATGACATTGGGCATTTAGGCTGTTGAGAGCTTGTTAAAGCTTAAGTCTTCTTGTTGTTCTAACGCCTTCCCCTTTTTTTAGGAGGTCTCCTGTGGGGGGAGTGTGTGTCAGTCCGAGGGCTCTATCGGACCAGCAGTACCAGCAGCTCGCCCAGGACACGCTGGAGGAGCTGGACTGGTGCTTGGACCAGCTGGAGACCATTCAGACACATCGTTCTGTCGGGGAAATGGCCTCAAACAAGGTATCAGGGCATCTCTGAACCAATCAGTTGACACATCGACATTTGAGCAGGAGGTTTGCTGCGACCTCCAAACCTCTGGACTTGTTCATGCTCTGCTTAGAAAATCAATCCTTCCTTTCATTCCACACAAAATGAGACAAGTACTTCAGAGAAGGATTTCTGAGTCGGACTGAATCTCTGCTTTGATTTTACTCCACAGTTTAGGAGGATGCTGAACAGAGAACTCTCACATCTGTCGGAGATGAGTCGCTCCGGAAATCAGGTGTCTGAATACATCTCCAGCACATTTCTGGGTGAGTGAGACCTCCATCTGATTCCTCCTCATGTCACGTGTATGAACAAAATAAATACAGAGCAAATAACAGCACATTATTTCACGTGTGTCCGCCCCCTGTGACTATCCGCAGACAAGCAGAACGATGTGGAAATCCCCTCTCCGACTCTCAAAGAGAAATCCATGAGTCACATCAGCGGAGTGAAGAAACTGTCTCACAGCTCCAGCCTCTCCAGCGCGTCACTGCCTCGCTTCGGGGTCAACACAGACCAGGAGGACGAGCTTGCCAAGGTGTTGTTTTCTGCCCAGGTCATTCTGACACAGGGAGGAAGTTACACAAATCAACACGTTTACGGTCTGAAAAAAATCATTTTTCTTTAGAACTAAGTCGAAGTTACCTTTTCCTAAGGCATTGTCTTTATTTACACCTTGGCTTAATGTTTTACTTGCACCAAGAAAAATCCTGTGTCTGTGTGCTTTGCACAGAGGTTGCAAAAAATGCACTGTCTTTACTCAAGTAGAAGTAGAAGACACTTTTTTTTTAAAAAGCAGAACACCGGATTCTGTTCATTTATTGAGGTGAAAGTAAAGAAAAAAGTATTGGCAATCAAATCTGCTTGAAGTATTTCAACAGTTTACTTGAGGAATGAGAAATAACTTACTGCTCTGAATCTGCTTCATCTGCAGTGCCGTCTCCTTAATGTCATCCATCGTGTCAAAAACATACCACTTTTCATTTAAATCTTACACTTCGGCCTGTTACATTGTCATGCTTCTTTAAGTATGTAGTGTAATGCAGTCACACATCAAAGGACTTATCGTCCTTACTAAATTAATCTAAATGTAAGTAACAAACCTTTTAAGTAAAAGTATTTATTTGAGAATGTTACAGGTTAAAGTTTTTAAGGAAAAGAGACACAGTTTGTTATTTCTAACCGTGAGATTTGTGTTTGGAGAAGACACAATAAGACATCGCAGATTCATTTCAGAGAATTTTGTTTTGCCATTTTGTGGTTTACAGTTCCAAATCTGTTGCAGCAAACATTCAGAATACCAGCAGATGTTTAAAGAGTCTCATTTGGTGACTGTCTTTTAATGATTGAAGGTATTTTTAGTAAGTAAATGCTATTTTATTTGTCCATTTACTGAGAGTATTAGAGTACGTCTGTGGATGCCATCAAAACTCCACACTTTTTTCAAAACCAGCAACAAGTTTTAGCTCTGCTTAGCCGTTTTAGCAGATAACTGCAAACAAATGTTTTGTCACTTGCTGCCATTCTTTGCTGTATACAAGGTTTTATGTGTTTACTTTCACAAGCTTTTCTCTCAGAGTCTAGTAAGATTCATTACGGTAATGGTGCAGTCATTGCGGCTATATATTTTGGTCCTGTCTCCCCTAAGCAAGCCCCCCTGCTGAACTGAGCACCTGTTGGACTGTTTGAGCCCATCCTGCCTGACGTAATGGTTCACATTCTATATTTCTGTGTGTGTGGTGGCAAACCAGGAGCTGGAGGACCTGGACAAGTGGAGTTTTAACATATTCAGAGTAGCAGAGTTCTCCAACAACAGACCTCTTAGTTGCATCATGTACGCCATCTTCCAGGTACAAAAAAGACTGAATCTGCAGGATTCCTCTTTCAGTATTTCTTGCCGTCTTTCCTAATGCGCACCCTGTTCTCCCACCCGCCTCAGGAGCGGGAGCTGTTGAAGACATTTCGTATCCCTGTCGACACTTTTGTCACTTATGTGATGACCCTGGAGGACCATTACCATGGAAACGTAGCTTACCACAACAGTCTCCATGCTGCAGATGTCGCCCAGTCCACACATGTTCTCCTCTCCACTCCGGCTCTGGATGTAGGTCCACACACACGTGCACTTTTTAAAAAAGGGGTCTTTTTCATGTCTTCTTAAAAAGTACGGTATGTGAATAAAAAGTAGGCCTGAGGCTTTCAGCAGATATACCAATGTAAGTTACTCATTTTTTCCTGCTAACATAGAAGGATTTTGTTTTGTTTTTTAACTGAGCACTGGGAATTTAAAAGGTTTGCTTTAATTTTCTGTTTTTATTCAACATGAGTTGAAACTAAGACATTGGTAATTGAACATTTCAGAAACTGAGAGTCAATTAAAACCATAGGTTTTTTAGTTTGATGAGTTGATATTTGTAATTTAAAGTAATTGAATGACTGTGTTTTGCAGTTTGTAAGTTGATTGCTTTGGACTTCATTATCTCTAATCTGTTGCCGTAAAATATTTATTATCAAGAAGTTAACTACAAAGTCTTGTTTTTCACTATGCAAAACTCCCTCAGTTGCCTCTTTTTCATGCTGCTCTCATCCTCTCAGGCTGTCTTCACTGATCTGGAGATCCTTGCTGCTCTGTTCGCTGCAGCTATTCATGACGTGGACCACCCCGGGGTCTCCAACCAGTTCCTCATCAACACCAGTGAGTGCACACCCGGACAAAGCCATTAGGGCATACCTCCATACCTGTACAGCCTGTGCCCACGCCCCCTTTTCCTCTGCTCAGACTCAGAATTGGCCCTCATGTATAATGACGAGTCGGTTCTGGAGAACCACCACCTCGCCGTGGGTTTCAAGCTTCTGCACCAGGAGAACTGCGACATCTTCCAGAACCTCACCAAACGCCAGCGCCAGAGCCTTCGCAAGCTTGTCATCGATATGGTAAGGGAGCACTACTTCTTCAAAAACGGACCGAACAGACCAATTTGAAAGATGACCTAATAGTTTTACATCAGTCGTATTTCTTTTACTTTGCACATTTTATACTGTTCAAAAGAAGTCTGTCCCATGGTGGGCAGTTTAGAAAATATGATTATTAATGCTATCCTCATTGTTTAACTTCAGCCTCAGTTTCTGCACCGTGTATGATGTGATTTTCCCCCCCTATTTAGTTAATTCTTAGAGACACCTTTGATACTTTTAATGATGCAACAGCATGTATATTCATTTTATACATAAAGTTTAATTAAGTACTTTTTTATTCAGATGTACTTGGCGTTTCCTCTTGTTACTTTAAATCTGTGCCTGCTTATTTGCTTTTTATTTGTCTCCTTTTATTGTGCCACAAAACTTAGGTCAGGTGTGTTTGATTCAAACATGCTTTACAAATTGAATTTTCTTCAAATTTGATTTAGAGTGGGCTTTGAACTCCTTTAGTGTGTCCGGGCATGTCTCTGAAACTGTGAGCACCAAAGTTTTAGGAAACTAAATGAGAAAAAAATCAAGTTTTTTTTTTGCCAGGGTGGTTTAGAACTAACAATCTATCTGCAGGTGTTGGCCACAGACATGTCCAAACACATGACTCTGCTGGCTGATTTGAAGACCATGGTGGAGACCAAGAGGGTGACAAGTTCTGGAGTTTTGCTCCTGGACCACTACACAGAGAGAATCCAGGTAACCCGCGCTCATCGCTGTGTTTCAGACTTTAACCTGCATCATGGAAACTTAAACGTGAGCATGCCACGTTGTGCGTGTGTGCTGCAGGTCCTGAGGAACATGGTGCACTGCGCTGACCTGAGCAACCCCACCAAGGCGCTGCCCTTATACCGGCAGTGGACGGAGAGGATCATGGAGGAGTTCTTTCGGCAGGGTGACAAAGAACGAGAGAGAGGGATGGAGATCAGCGCCATGTGTGACAAGCACACTGCGTCTGTCGAGAAGAGTCAGGTACAAAGCACTGCTCTTCATTTACTCTCAAAAGACTGAATAGATGGGCCACGAATAACCACGTTTTCTATGCTGGATGAGATGGACAGAGTAATACAAGTAATGTGCTGAATTAAAATATACCTGGAAGTGTTGCCATGAGAGTGTTCAGTGTGCTAAAAAAGGCCAGATGACATAATCTGGGCTAACTTAATGCATTTCTCTGGTAGAGATTTTTTGCTGGCATGAAATGAATGAATGAATTGTGAATTGTTTGAGCACTCGCGTTAAGCCTCTTTGAGATATCAGCAAGCCAATCAGGGTAGGATTTGCTTTTTGCCAGGAACTAAAATCTAATCTTTTTGTCGAGAAGCTGACTAAAGGTGTTCCAGCACTCCACATAACTACAGAAATACTGTGCTCTTTGTGCATGAAATTTAGTAAACCTCCTTATATAACTGTTAGAGAACTATTTAAGAATAATAATACAGGATTGTATGTTCTTTCCTATGTGCATCTGATATTCCTTTCACATCTGATGCAAAACCTGGAAATTGCAATAACTCAGACAAATAAATAAATTTAAATCACCATAATATGATCATCATTGTCCATGGTCTCATTGGTGATAAAAAAGTAGCTTGACTTCACGGATTCTTTTTTTATATTTATAGAATTAATTTTCAATTTCTATACTGTTAACCCCAAAATACATTTTCCCAATGAGAATCTTTGAGTTAAAGATAATGACCAGGCCTCACCTCATGGCTCTGTACTATAAATAAATGTATATACAACTTCTTGTTATGACCAGCAGGAGGCAGTATTGCACACCACTGCACAGTGTTAAGACAAGTCAAAACACATCAGGCTTGGTGTCTCTCATGTCATGTTTCCACCCAACCAAATCAGCCTAACTGTTAAATTGTATAAATCCTGAGCATGTCCAAATATGTAGATGTAGTGGACAGTGCTGTCACACTTATATGATGTTGTCACTCATGGAGATGTGTGTTGACAAGGCATTTGTTCTGTAAGCCTCGGGACACATTCACATTCATCCTGCAAATCCAAAGTGACCACGGGAGGCCT